GACATCCACTGCGTGGTACCAGCATTTTGCCTACTCCTTTGAGAACTCCCTCAACGGCTACGTAGAGCTGGACCACAACAAAGACCTGCCTCGCCGCTGCAAAGGGCGTGCCAAGTGGACAGAACCTGAGCAAGTCCACACCACGGCGCATGCCATCAAATCAAGCCGCCCAGGTGAGGAGATCATCATGTCCAGCCTTGCCGGCACTGCTGTGCGGCAATGGTGCAAGCAACTACGACGACTCCAGAGCTATCTCCACTCACTCCGATCCAACGTGACCAGCATCAACTCCTCCCTCTACCGCGCTCAGCTCTGGGGGGCCATCACTAGGAGCTCTGGCTTTCGCGGCGGCTTTCACAACTGGTGGCCCAATCGGCAGCTGCAACTTCAAGGCAGCCCATGTAGACTGCCGTACTCACCGCCCTCACTCCCCGTTACTATCTTGATCTTTCAGGACTACCGCTCCAACTTCCGCAAATTCGAGGCCTGGCATCTACACCAACGACGCCAGGCTATCAAGCTCAAATACGACGAGCAAAGTGGAGCTCTCTACCACTACATTCGGGAGGACAGACAACCGGCCATCGACACGCTCACGATCGCTCGGGACTACACCATTTTGGCTGTAGACACGGAAAACAATTTTGTGCACCTCGACAAGGACATCTGCACCAGGGGCAATTCGGTCTGGTCCCTCCATGGAGAACCAGCCCATGTACAGGCCATTGCCTCTGATGTCGCCCAGGTCGACACCGACCGGCTTCTTTGCCCAGGGCACGGCATTGAGCAGGACTCCTTTGTCACTCACATTAATGACATCCACTCAGAGCTCATCGACCTCTGGACTTCACGTTGGAACACCTCAACCCGGCTATCCAACGAAGAGCTTACGAGAATTGCCAGCTTCGTCCAAGCCTACATCCCCAAGGGCCACTTCCCATGTGAGCCCATCACGGTCTCAATGTGGGACGACACCCTCAAGAAGTACCGCCCACACGCTGCTAAAGGAGCCGACGGATTTGCACTCCAGGACCTCCGCCAGATGCACCCGGGCCACAAGCAGCAGCTTGTCAAATGGCTCAACAGCCTCGAAGACGGCCAAACCACTTGGCCCAAACAGCTACTTCAGGGCACAGTCAGCTGCATCGCCAAGACCGCCAACTCCAAAGCAGCAGACAGTTACCGCCCAATCGTCATTTACAGCCTGATCTACCGCACTTGGGCGGCAATCCGCTCAAAGACCATCCTCAAGGGCGTCAGCCACTTGATCCACGACACAGCATATGGTTTCATGCCTGAAAAGGAGGCCATGCAATATGTCTTCGCCATGCAAGCACTTGTTGAGCTTAGCGCCCAAGCCGACCACTCGGCCGAAGGACTTTGCGGATTCGCAGTCGACCTGCAACGCTGCTTTAACAACCTTCGCAGGGAACCAGTCGCCCTCATCGCGAAGGCCCTTGGCATCTCGGACAAGGTCCTCAATCCCTGGCTTGACTTTTTGCATAACAACCAGCGGCGCTTCGTCGTCCGGGGCAGCCTATCCTCCCCCATCGAATCTTCTGTCGGATTCCCCGAAGGATGCCCTTTGAGTGTTGCTGCCATGACGATGATCAACCTCAGCTTCCATCTCTACATGCAGGCATTTGCTCCGTCGACCTCAGCATATAGCTACGTTGACAACCTTGCGGCCACAGCCTACTCCCCTGCTACGTTAGCAAGAGGATGGTGTGCTCTGGAAAGCTTCTGCAATATGCTCGCCCTGCCGATCGACTACGACAAGTCCTTCGTGTGGGCCGCATCGGCTACCGACAGAAAATCGCTGCAGTCCTTCCCTTGCCGCACGGTCCGCAACGCGCGAGACTTGGGCGGCTGCATGACATACGGCAGCTCCCTACGCAACGCTGGTCTGGTGGACAGATGCCGCGGTCTCTCCGGCAAATGGCAGGCGCTTCGACGTGCGCCAGGCCCCCTGGAAGTGAAAGCCAGAACCCTGTGGACATGTTTCTGGCCGCGAGCCCTACATGGGATCGTCACTTGCCTCTTGGGTGAACAGCACATCCGGCGGCTTCGATCAGCAGCCGTAGCAGCTTTGAGTCTGAAGTGTGCAGGAGGCAATCCCATGCTGAGACTCACGCTTGCTTTACCTTTTCAAGCCGACCCCGGATTCTACCAAGCCCTCACGGTCTTCAGGGACTTTCGCCGGATTTGCCGCAAACAGCCAGCTCATGTCAACGAGTGGGCGCAATTCATGCGACAGTTTGATGGGCGCCTACTACCAGGACCTTTCTCCAAGCTGCTAGAAATCTGCGACCCGCTCAAATGGACGATCAACACTGTCCCCTATATCACCGACCATGACGGCCTTCACTTCAACTTTCTCACATGCTCGTCCAATGAGCTGACGAGCAGGCTTGAAGATGCGTGGGCGCAGCGTATTGCGCAACAAGTGCAGCATCGCAACTCCATGAGCGACCTCAACGGCATCGACCACGCCTGCTCTACACGCCGGCGATCCAAGTACACACCACTCCAGGCGCGACTGGTATCAGCAGTGCAGGACGGGTCCTTTCGTGCTCCCGCTCATCATGCTCGATACGATCTGACCAAGAGCGCGCAGTGCCCACTATGCCTTGTCCCGGAGGACTACAAGCACCAGGTATGCAACTGCCCACGCTACAGGACCTGCCGTGCAGAGGACCAGTGGGTGGCCGACATGTGGGACTCTCTCCCAACCTGCGTCAGCCACCATTTGCTCGTCCCGAGAAACCCGTTTTTTGCCGGCATCAAGGAGCAGCTCCACTATACAGCTGACAGCTCTGGCGAGTTTCATCTCGAACCTGATGGCGCACAATTACAGCATGTTTTTACGGACGGTTCATGTTTTGGCCACCAAGACTCGCAGCTTGCATTAGCAGCCTGGGCGGCCATCGCACCGGATCGCGGATGTATCGCAGCAGGACATTTGTCAGGTACAGTACAGACAATCAGCCGTGCGGAGCTGACAGCAGTTATTAGCGCCATCCGGTGGACTATCAAACACAACTGCCGTACATGCGTTTGGTCGGACTCACAGTCTACCGTGCACGGAATTGACGCGCTGCTTCATGAGCCCACCGAAGCCCCGTCAGGTGAAAACGAGGACCTTTGGCACGCCGCAGCAGACTTACTCAGAACCACAACAGCCGGGACTTTTCAGATTCGCTGGATCCCATCACATCTTCAGGAAGCCGACTGTGAATCCCCTTTTGAGGAATGGGTCGCATGCGGAAACAATCAAGCTGACCATGCCGCCGTTACAGCCAACCGGAACCGATCTGCTGATTTTGTACACTTGCACAACCAGGCCAAGCAGTTCTTCAAGCACTGGGCCGGAATCTGTGATGCGCTGGAGCGCATTTACCTTCGCATCGCACAATGTACCCGTGCTCAGGGCGAGAACCTGCAAATCGACGAACAGGAAGAACCTGATCCAGCTGAACAGCCCGGTGGGCCTCATGTGCAATGGCATGACCGCCAAGGCATTTGGGCCGATCACCTGCCTGAGGACTGGACCTCATTTGGCGAGACAAAGCTGCTGGACCTTCCCAGTAGCTTTCTGCGGCAGTTCTTCGAGTGGCTCTTGGCCCTTGATGGGCAAAGCGAAGCTTGCGTGGATGTCAGCATGTTGGAATTAGTTTTGTTTTACCAGCACGGAGCTGGCCAGGCTTTTCCCATTGCCACACCTGATGGCAAGTATGAACATGCGACGCATGTCGCTCCGTTCGCCAGGCCTACCGTTGCTAGCCACCTGCGGTTGGTCAACCGCGTTTTGACCGCGTTTGCACGCCACTTTTCGTTGGAGGGCTTTCTTTCTTCGGGGATTGATCGCTCTTTTTTGTCGGTGCACCCTCCACAGAAAGGTGTGCGGATCGGCTGTGACCTGCACAGCATTAGCGCCATGAGACAACTCACGGCGGTTTTCACGGCCACGCGACCCATACGGGTCAGCGCGGACCTGGCACGGCCTGCCTAAAGGCATGACAGACTCCGCTCGCTGCACTGCGCCAGCCGTGCACGAGCGATTGCGCAAGTTGGAGTATTGATTTCTTTCCTTCTTGCTATCCATCCATTTATTGTTTTCTCTCTTTCTCTCTTTCTATCTATCTATATACCTATCTACCTATCTATCTCGTCTACCTACCTATCGATCGATCTCTCTATCTATCTATCTATCTATCGATCGATCCTGGATTGCCCAAGTACAGAATCTGAAAAGGCCGACACCACCTGCATTTGGCCAATAAGGGAAACATGTGTTTTGAAAACTTTACAGCTTTTGTGGGACTTGAGGGCTGGCCAGGATGGACAATTCTCAAATAACAAAATCTGGAGATCTTCAATCTTCAATGCAGGTGGAAAACCAGAAAGAGTCTAGAAAAACTGTCAAGCTTGTTTGTGGCAGCATTGAGGATGTTCCAAAGCGATGCGTGTGGAGTCTTGAATAGTTGGCCTTCCATCCAGGGCAACACGATCTGAGCAAATGCTGAAAGCACCGCGTTTTACAGCATGGAATGCAAAAAGGATGAATGTTGGAAAACACTTTTTGGTTATTGGTTTGGCTCAGTTCTTGCTGGGTTAAAGCCACATGAAGTTAGATAAGGACAACAACCCTTATGAAGTTTCTCTTGATCCAAGTTTCAAATGGCCATGACAATAGCTGTGTCCTTCAATTGACTGTTGAAACACACAAGAAACTGCAATCGGTTACATTCAAATGTGGCTTGAACTCGAAATCATTTTAGCTTTCATATTCTTCCTATACTTGAATTTCAATAGTGGTTCTTGACAGGGGTTAAATCGTTATAGACAGGCAACGCGCAACTGAGATAGCTGCTTTGCAAGTTTGATTTATACACACTTATTTAGAATCTACTTATAATTTCGTGGGGTAGCATATACATATCTACCTACATATACATATACACATATATATATATATAGACAGAAGGCCCTAGAGCCGCCTCCTCGAATCATGGCGGTCAGCAGGGTGCCCTGACATGGCTTTTGGAGCAATCAAAAACGCGGGGACAGGGTAAGAGCAATGGGGGGCAGGGCAACGCGCCTTAACATTAGATGACACAATTCCCAAGTCGGGGCTTAGTCGTTCCTGTTCCTTGCCCACATAGAAATGGTGCCATCGACTTTCACACTGGAAGTGGTATCGCTGCCTGTGCCAAAAGGCACGAACCAAGAATGCCTATGCTTGAAGGGTGCACATTTGGGCACCTTGACCAAAATGAATGCAAACCGTCATTTCTAGCGGAAAGCTCCTTGGCTTGGGGAGTCCTGGAAGACTAAAGGGTCCGGCGCAAGACTCACATAGAAGCCGTATTTGTTGCTTGATTTTAAGTTAAAGGGAAACCCATTCCCAAAGAACAAAGAACACATTACTCTGGGCGACGGTGAGCTCACTTGGAGCGCATCACCGTGATGTTGGTGTCCTGAAACTGGCCAAAACAGAGCAGTCAGGCAGTCGTCACCGTTGGTTGCCTTTTGTTGAGGGTCCGAATCTTATTTTGGGGACCACCCAAACCAATTGAATAGACCGAAATTGATACCTTTTTTCAACCGAACTGCTACAACCAAAAGGACACGTCTACGGTTAGCATCTCCGTATTGTCACCCTGAAGGGGATTGTTTCCCATATCACAACGTTGCAACCTATCCCACTTTCCCCGAAAGCGATATTCTGAGAGACTTGGGCCAACCCAAACAAAACCCACGGCTCAAGCCAGTGTTTTTTCGAGCATCGTTCTGAAAAATCGGCCACAGTGGGCCAGTTGTCATTTGTTCAGGCAATTCCCGCACAGAAAGCGAAAACCTGCAACCCCTTCAATTCCACCATGAACACATGTCTCTCTTTTTACGGGGACCCCCCAAAAACATTTGTGGTTTCCTTGCGGTGTCCCTTTCAAACCAAAGAGTGCCCGAAAAAGACACACTCGCATTTTCACGGCTACTTCCGCGACCTGCTTGGCTGCGAAGTGACGTTGGTCCAGCCACTGCACGGTGGCAACGAAGTTGTCCTCGATGCCAGGCGAGTGCCACTGGTGGTTTTTTTTGTGTTTTGGGGTACCGATTTCATGTTGGAGGGGAACAACAAAGGACAACCGAATTCATTTTGAGATGTTGGTCCTCGAAAACATTTTGCGGGGTCCAAATCCCCGGTTTTCACACAAACACACACCCACATACATGGCGCTTTCTTGTCCTTTGGAACCAAGTTGCCAAAATTAGGACCCCGGCACGGGGGGTGCGGGGGCCGATGCGGGCCAAAGGATGTGGAAGGGGTTATATATGGTTGACCTCCCCAAATGGACTTCTGTAAAAAACTTCTTAGCGAGAATTGGTTCCCTCATCCATAAGCTCAGGTGATAGCCCCCACAGCATATCTGTAGGCAAAGCTTTCAGCTGGGAACCATTTCCTGCTACCACCCGAATGCATCAGAGCACGGAAACCTCTCAGCCTTCTTGAGCCTTTCACCGACACAATGCCAGAAACCTTCGAACCGTACCAGACCACCCGGAAGCTCTGGAACCCCAGCCAACCCCAACCAACCCCAAAACCTCTGGGCTGAGACCCCTTAGCGCTCAGCTAGTGAAAAAACCGAAAAGCATCCCTCAAAAAACACACCCAAAGGAAATACACATGCAATGTCATCGAGGAACCATGGCGACGTGGGTCCTTTTTGACCCGTGCTCAAGGTGTCATGTTGTAGCACCTGTTTCAATTGACTCTCTCGCTATCTTGTCAACCCTCCATGCACCTTCGCTGACCCAACATGGAGTTCAATGGAATCACAATGTGCCTTTGAAAAGCAAGGCTTTCCGGAATAATTTCAAGAAACCAAGGCATTGTCAGCAGCAACAGCAGAGCCATCTCGTTGGTTCGCGGTTGGCCCCATGTCGCTCCCCAAACCAAATGAGCCACAGTTTGGCGAGGCCCCATATGGCTGTGGCTGAAAACAAAAGATACCAACAGGGCACCTTGGTAAGTTGAACCAAAGACCAAAACCTGCACAACCCTAGCTCAATACATTCTTTTGAGCCGCCCCCTTTTCTGTGCCATGGTCAAAACTCCCAACGTCTGAGTTGTTCATCATGGCTCCCTTAGGAACCGTACGGAGGAGTTTCACATTGGTAAATCATGTAGGTCTCAAAATAAGGGACCCACCAAAATGGCCCCCTTGTCCTTTCTAATTATTTCCCTTTTCGACCACCGTTCAATGGTTACCCTGCAAAATGACATACCCACATACATGGCAGATGAAGTCTTTCTAGGATCCCTCCTCGATGCGCCTCCGGTAGAGCAAGGTTGCCATGCCTCGTCCTCCGCGTCGCTATAAACTGGGCCCCCTTTTTGGTTTAGGCGGAATTCACTTGCCCAAAGGGAATGGAAATAACAGGTGATCACCTTTGGGGTCATGACTAGATGTGAACCAATATAGGAAACTCAAAAGATCAAACGACCATTTGCTGGGCCTTCTCAACCACTTCCGTGATACATCTCGGGGACCATTACCCTCTTTAAGTGAAACACCATGTGGGTCTGTCTTGTTTTAGGGTGACCCTTTTCGGTTGGGTTCAAAAGGATAATAAAAGGAAAACCACCATTTTGGGGGTCCACAAAAACAGGACAACCCAGCCCAATGAAACGCGGGGACACCAATTCACCCCATTTGGTCATGGCTCTCTTGCAGCGGCGAGTCGGTCTCCAATCCGCACTCCTGGCTCTGGGCAGTTTCAAAGGCCAGTGATTTGTCGGAGAAATTCACAGATGCTGTGACCAGAATCCTATCCTTGCTATCCGGCCCTGAACGTCGTTCTGCATGTATGGCGACAAGTGACGCACAGGCAGTTCCGTCCTTGAAGGCTCTGGATCTCTTGATGAGAGGTTGCTCCAGAGGCGGTCGCCTGACCTGAGTCCAAAATATGTTTCAGCTCAAAGCCGCGGAGCTCAAGTGTTCAGTACAGGCCCGTTGATTCAAGTTGAGAGGGTTCTCAGGGCTGCCCTCACTCCTTCCTTTCCGTCACCTTACTTCCTCTCGCACAAGCGAAACACTCTATTGAATCCGTCGAAGCACACTTGAGAACACACGCCAGTCAGCCCCCGGCAGGAACACCTTCAGCCGTCGCCCACAGGTCCGCCACATCTTCGCCCGCCCAGACGCTGAGATGAAGCATGCGCCGCACGAGATCCTCTGCGTCTGGGCGCAAGTGGCGGGCAAAATAGAGGCGGCAAACGACCTGAGCGGTTCAGGTTCTGCTCTGAGAGAGCGATGTGGCTTTCCCACACAGACACAGACACAGACGCAGACACAGACACAGACACAGAGAGCGAGCGAGAGAGCGAGAGAGTGAGAGAGACACAAAGGAAAAAAAAGAGAAAAAAAAAAACAAGAAAGACAACAGTCACACACAGAGACATAGAGAGACAGAGACAGAGAGACACAGAGACACAAACCTACCTCCAAGACGCACCCGTCCTGACGGACTTGAGACTCGCTTGCCCAACCCTGGGGGCCGCTCAGTGCAACTATGTTCAACCGATTTGATCCGAGTAAAGGTCATTCTGGCTCACTTTAGACCAACCTTCACTGGATCACTGTGCCAAGCCCGGCACCACTTCTTTCTCCACGTATGCGCACAGCATCATGTCCACCGGGATTTGCAAATCCTCTCTGGCGAAGTCGCACCGAATGCCACTTTTTGCTTGCTCCGCTTGCCTTGCAGGAGCCCCCATGGCTCTCTGGTCAAATCACCGCCATCCCCTCCCCCATTACACATGTAGCATGGTGAAGGGTAACCAGCAAGAGCGGATCTTAGTCTGGGCCAAGGCTCCAACCGCCAGGTGGTTCCCATGCCAGCATCACGTGGTAGGGAAGCACGCCATCCTCCATGTAAGTCATCTCGCTGATAGGCACCCAGCCATGCGCCTTCCCATAAGCAAACCAGGCAATTCCATGAACCTGAGTGGTCTCACACCCTTTTATACGGTATAATACCAGGTTGATGGTTGCAAGGATTTTCTAGACTGCCGCTCCTTTGTTGCATGGAAAAGCGCTGCTCGCTCTCGTCCAGTCGCAAGGTCTCTGCAAGCATGTTGCAGGGGAGAAGGCATGTTCAGGCAAGACGGTTGTGGGAATCCCGCGCACAACTTCGTCCAAAAAACCGCAGGAGCACAGCCGAGCCTCGACCTCCTTGCACCTCTCACCCACCAAGAGCAGCAGCTCAGGAAAAGTGCAAGGCTTTGGCAGTGAGAGCCTGATGCGAAGGCATTAGGGGCTGGGTGGAGTGGAAAGAAAGGAATGACCAAACTCACTGCAGCCAGGCTGAGCTCTTCGGAGAGGAAACACCTCATCGATTGGATAAGTCCCCTGCCAGCCGGTTGCCAAACAGGGTCCAGCCGCTCGCTACGCGGAGCGCCCAGGCTTGCAACCAAGGTGCCAGCATGGAAGAACGTGGGCACAGCAACCCACCACATCTGCATATCCACGAAAGCGACCGTGAAAGGGCAGCCCAACAACGATGGACTCCGCAGCCGTCTGCGTGCCTGAGCCACACTCTGCGTGTCTCTCCTAGTCTTCTCGGATTCTTTCTGCCTTGGCTGAGATGCACAGTGCAAGAGCGAACAAGCCCAGGACCACGGTCCTTTTCTTACTGGCCTGAGCGAAATGCACTGGGGATAGATGTGCATGCAAACTAACCAAGTCAGGGCAGGTCAGCAACTCTGCTGGCATCGCCAAGGCAGCTTTGATTCCACTTTGTCTATCAACGGGGTGTGACAAGCCATTGCATTCTGATGCGTATGGTTTGACGCCTGGAAGTGCAACGTGAAGTGCTTCACGTCACTGGTGGTGGCCGGCTTCTTCGGCCTTGGACAATGCGAAATTAGATGCTCAATGCTCAATATGCGGTCTGGAACGCTGACGCCCGCTGACTCTCCAAGCCAAGCAGAAAGGCAGCAACAAGCCTATGACCGACACAGCGCTCTGCTACATGTCTCCTCCAAGAGGCTGTGGCTTTCTCTGCGACGGCCACCGCAACTCGCAAAGCCACTTGCTCCGCGGGTCCCAAGTCCTCAGCGACTCGCTAAGCGAGGTTGGGAGGCTCGTGGGACTCACACACCCAAACCAAGCACGCAAGGCATCTCGTCACAAAAACACGCAGATTGGCTTCGAATCTTGGTGTAGAAAGGAAAGCTAGCACCACGGGTGGCCCCAAAGCATAATGGAAAGTGAATGTTGGTTTCATGTGTGTTTGCTTCCCTTTCAGCGCAAGTTGCTCTGCGTGCGCAAGCGCTCTGCGCAAGTGTGCTGCGCAAGCTCGGAACAAGCTTCTATGCGTGCAGCGCTGGCCACAACACAGCAACCTTTCGACGTGACCTGCGAAAGTATACCTCGCGTAATCCGCCGACCCTTTTCCCCAAAGGGGAGGCGTGGGAAGGGTTTGCCTTTGTCCTTGTCTTAGTGATGATTATCATCACCACTGATGTTGGGTGATGGTTCACAGCATCCGGATCATCATCATTACCGTGGCGCTTCTTTTTTCATATATGTTTCAAGTGTGCCGTTAGACCTGACTGGAAATGCAGAGGATGTGTCGTGATAATTGTCATGAGAACTGCTGCTGATGCTGAGGATGCAGAGTGATGACGTTAAATGCTGGTGATTGTGAGGATGCGTAGTCATGATTCTCATCAGGATGATGAACATGAGGATGAAAATGAGGATGGACGAGGATCATGATGAACATGATGAAGAAAATGATGGTGTTCTTCTTCACCATATACTAACGACGCGACTGAAAATGCAGAGGATGCGTTGCGTTGATGGTCATGATAACTGCTGGTGATGCTGAGGATGCGTAGTGATGATTATCATCAGGATGACGATGATGATGATGATGAGCATGATGAGGAACATGGTGATGGAAATGATGATGATGATGAACATGAGGGTGAAAATGATAATGATGATGAACATGATGGTGAACATGATGATGAACATGATGATGATGATGATGATCCTGTTGATTATGCCAAAGATGCGTAGGGATGATTATCATCAAGGTGATGATGATGATGACGATGATGGTGAAAGTGATTCATCAGGATCATCATCCTCATCCTCGTTTCCATCATCATGTTCATCATCATGTTCATCATCATCATCATCATCATTTTCATCCTCATGTTCATCATCATCATCATCATTTCCATCATGTTCCTCATCATGTTCATCATCATCATGCTGGTGACTACGCATCTCAACACATGATGATGATGATGAACTGATGATGATGAGGAACATGATGATGATGATGATGATGAGCCTGTTCACCATCATCACCATCATCATCATTTTCATCATCATGTTCATCACCAACATCCTCATCCATCATCACGTTCACCATCATCATCATCATCATCGTTTGCATCATCATGTTCCTCATCATGTTCATCATCAAAACCGTGGCGCTGTTCTTTTTTGATATACGTTTCAAGTGTGCCGTTAGACCCGACTGGAAATGCAGAGGATGCGTTGTCACGATAACAACTTCTGATCATCATCAATCATCATCATCCTGTCTTTTTCCTTTACGTTTTTAAGTGTCATCATGTTCATCATCTTCATCTTCAGCATCATCATTTTTATCATCATTGTCATCATCATGTCTTCATCATGCTATCATCATCATCCTGATGATAATCATCACTACGCATCCTCAGCATCACCAGCAGTTATCATGATCATGACAGCGCATCCTCTGCGTTTCCAGTCGGGTCTGCCAGCCGAAGCAGTCTAAAGGTGTACTTCGTGCGCCACTTTCGTACCTAAAAGTTGCAATCTTCCAGCCTCTCTGAAAGTGTACTTCGCGTAACCCTTTCGTGCTAGAAAGTTGCGATTCTTCAGCCGGAGCTGTGAAAATGCACTTTGCGAGTTGGTTTCGCGCGGCTGACTTTCTAACTCAGAAGGCGCGGAGTCCAAGCAAGATCGGAGCCCAGGGCTGCTCGCTTCCAAGGGCAGGTGCGCAAACCACAAGACAAACTTTCAAGCCCGCGCTCCGACTGGAAAAAGAAGCACTTTCCTAGCACTTCGTGCGATCGACCACGCCAATCCCCACAGCCCCAGACATCGTAAAAAGTTCTCAGTTTTTGTCAAATCGACCACTCCAATCCCCGCAGAGAGTCGCGCGGGCATGTTTCAAAATCGAAAAACCCTCAGCTTTTGAACATCGACAACGCCAATCCGCACGCGAACCGCAGACATCGTAGAAAGTCCTTGTGCAAGTTTGGCGTGCAATCTTTCTCGCGCAAGCTGGCTCCAAGCTTGGCGTTGCGATACGTTCTCGTGCAACTTGGCTCGCAGGTTCGGCGAAGCGAGCTTTCTCGTGCAACTTGGCTCGTGCAAGTTTGGCGATGCGATAAATTATCGCACAAGTTGTCTCGCGCCAGTTGGCTCGTGCAAGTTTGGCTGCGCGGTCTTTCTCGTGCAAGTTGGGAGTTTGGCTGTGCGATTTTTCTTGCAAGTTGGCTCGCGCAAGTTTGGCGGTGCGACAAATTCTCGTGCAAGTTGACTCGCACAAGTTTGGCTGTGCATTTTTTCGTGCAAGTTGGCTCGCGCAAGTGTGGCAGTGCGGTAAATTCTCGTGCAAGTTGGCTCGCGCAAGTTTGGCTGTGAGGGTAAGGCTGGTGATTTTACCGGGAGAACCTTTCGCAATGCTTTCGGGAAAAAAAAACAATAAATCATCTAGAATCCCATAGAAGCCCCTTTGATCCTCTCTGCTTCGGCCTTCCTGAGGCAGCGTCCGCCAGTATTGGAGAAGCTCTGCTCCAGGTTCGCTACTCAGGAAGTTCGTTTGCATCTGCACGAAGCGCGTGTAGCCCTCCCAGTCCTCCTGGCGCAGGGGCAACTGTAAAGTCCAAGGCACGGTCAAAACAAGTTTCTCCTGTTGAACATGGGACAGCGTGTGTTGGCATTTCGTGAATCTCCCTGGTGTCCTTCCCAAGTGGACCACAGACTACCGTTTTGGCCCTAGTTCACATAAGGCCTCACACGCTCTTGCACTGCACATGCGTTAAACCGGTTGAAGCAGCAACAGCCCCATTCTGTACCATGGGGGGTTGGCAAGCACGGCCAAGCCTCGACGCCCCTGACCTGCATCTTCTGGCCACTCTCGTCGTGGTTGGGTGGTTTTGCAGAAAACGACGCCAGGCTGCGCAGGATGCTGGAAAATGCCTGCCCGTCGATGGCGATGTGGGCAACATGCAGCACCAGCCTGAGTCTTGGCCGCGACACTTCGCAGAGGCAGCGGGTGAAAGTGAGCTTGCGAAAAGCGCAGCTCGCCTGTTGGGCCACGCAAGTTACTCTTGTCTGAAGCACTGTGATGCTTATGCTGCTGTGTTTGTTGGGTTCTCCCCCCATCAGGAGGCGCGCTCTGACACTAGCAAGAATTGGTAGAGACACCGATCATTCAAAATAAGTGGCCAGGGGATATGAGAAGAACTGGAATCTTGAGAAATGCTTTGTGGCGAACGCTGCCTGAGAAAGAGCGACTTTGCACTCTACCCTGTTCATTCCGCTTGATTTCCCGGGCCTCTGTCCACACAGCATAAACTGCGCTATCGCCAAGCTTGCCAATGGTTTCTTTACGAAATACGCCTGCAATTTCCAAAGTGCCTCCTCTTTGGCAGGCATGGAAAGCTATGCCTCATTCATTGGGTCTTGCAAAATGTCGTTCCAAAATCAAAATGCGCTTCATAACGACACCTGTGGCAAAATGTCAAAACTGCAACACTCATTTGCGCAATTTGGACGTACCATTGCGTGCAATGCGGATAGACCCGCTACAAAATCCCATGAGCATGTCTAGTGTTTGCGGATAAGTTCAGCAAAACTACTCTGAACGACTGATAAAGGTCAGGGAGGAGTTCCGCAGCATTCTAAGGGCTTACCCAGCTGAAAAGCCATGCATTGACTTTGTGAACCTGATAGACCACCTGCAGAATCCTATTCATGATATCAACATGCCTCGTGGTTGGACCAATGCAGTGAAATCATGTGCGAAACTGCTGAGGGTGTTTTAGCTGCACCATTGCTTCGGGATACCCATCTAAAAAGCTAAAATTCAGAGAAGCGTCCTGCAAAATGGTTTTATTGAGCTAGAATGCGTGACACAGCGCATTCCACTTCAGAAAGGGCTGCTTCACAGGCCTGGCGATTAGGAAACGAAACCTTTGGGGAAACCAACAAACTGATGGAGCACAGCTTGGACGGGGAAGAACATGTGTGGAAAGGGTTGCTGTGCAGTTTGGTAGGCTTGTCAAGAGGATCCCTACTGATGAAAGCAAGCTGTTGTCCAAGTCATCTCCAAATTGCAAGCCCTCCGTTGGAAAACATGTCTGCGCCACTTTAGGCCCCATGCGGGCGTCCTCTTTAATTCGTAAGAAAGGAGTCCGAGCGTCTGCTCAGAAGTTCAGAAGTTCAGAAGGCAAGCGGCAGTAGCTGTGGGTTCCCCTCCATCTGCAGGATCATCACCTTCAGCGGCGGGCGCTGATTCCACGGGTCGAAGCCACGTTGTCGCAGCTGTCGAATTACGTCATCCGCCTCCTCGTCGCGACACGCAGAACGTGGAAGGTGAAGAAAACACAATGGTTCAAATTATCCCAGAGTTCTGTGGCCAGAGCTGTGGCATTCCAACCTTCCTACTGATAGGCTGCTCAAATTTTCCAACAACACGATTCATTGCGGGAATTTCAGCAAGCCTAGGCCTGGCTTTCGCGCCAGGGCGACGTACAACAATTTCTACACAATCTACCCCCCTGTGACTTGCATTTTACGGCAACTCAGCAGCCGGCCGAACGAGCAAGCGCAAGCCAGCATGCATTCTTGCCACGGCACCTTCATGTTGCACCTCACTGGAACACTGCGAACAAGGACCCCTCCTCGGCACAAGCGACGCTCTGCAGCTGGACATTGTCAGAGCCGCTCGGGTAGAATGCGCTGACATTCTTTGACACCCGCTGCATCATCTGCCCTGCGTTCTCAAAGTAGGTGGAGCGGAAAACGTCGTGCCGCTGCAAGTTGACCACAAAGTCCTTAGCGTCGTTGACGTTGACGTGCTCTGGCAGCCAAATCTTAAAGGTTTGCGCGCAGGAGAATTCCTTGTCTGTTCTGTACAACCTGGCAAGGAAAAACAAATTCTGCGGAACGACGCGAGTCGTTCCAGTCTCACCCCTACCATTGAACACGATGCCGACGCAAGGGAAACACAAACCACACCCTCTTGCAACAAGCAACTTTGAAAAATGTCCCGCAAAGCTGTTCATCTCAAGTATGAGGAGAAACAACATCGATTTCATCACTCGTGCCACATGAAAAGGTGCCGGATAGGATGCCTCTTGTTAAATCACTTGAAGAGCCGAACGCAACACCACCACGACTCCACTGGCAACGTTTGGCCCAAGAGCGCCTCAGAAACACCTGCTGCATCAACGACATTGGCGCTTCTCGCGCTGCCCGCTCATCAAGAATCGCCTGGGCGAGAGCACGTCGCTGCTCTTCCCACACCCCAGTCGCCATTACGGGTGTCCAGCCGCAGTTCCACAAGAACTGTTCAAAGAGAGCAAACCAAACGACCTTTTTGATTGTCTGTTGGGGCCAAGCAAGCCCGCTAGCTTGGAATCAAATTCACCTCCTGAAAAACTGACTTCGGATCGTGAGGCTTCCCGATATGAGCGGGTTCACGACCTGGGATGGCCTATCCCCGTCAGCGAAACATGAATTATCATATTGATTGGTACAGTTGCTCAGCGGGCACGGGATACCAATGCACCCAGGGCGCTGCGATTGGGCATTTCACCCATCCAAGTGCCGCATCCTTAAGTGGCCAAGCTCTGTAGCCGTTTGCTGCGCCAACAGGCAAACAAGCAACTGGCTACACTCTGCATGGCTTCAAAACCTTGCCACTGGCATTAAGGTTCTTTATGGTCGTCAGGGGACGCACGAGCGCCAAGAGCTGCAGTATCCTTGCCGTTGCGAAGGGAGTGAAAGCCACCAAGCAGCTGCAACGCCGAGATTCGTTTTGCCCTTGCCAAGTCCTCGCCGGGTGTTAGCAAGCAGCTCGGCAATGCTCTTGCCAAGTCCGTACAAGATGTTCGCAAGCAGCTCTGCAACGCTCTTGCCAAGTCCACGCCGGGTGTTAGCAAGCATCTCTGCAAGCTGGAGGCAATTCGGTGCCGGGTCGTGTCAGGGTCCCGGCAAAACGGCTTCAGCTTCAGGTCCCAGCAAAGCTTTCTGCGCCAGGCCGACCTTGAGGTTGGGAAAGCGGTGGCCTGGGAGAGAGAGAGTACAAGGCGGCAAAATGGGGAGTTCTTGCCACAAAAGGCGGCGATGAGGCGCATGCACACTACGGGAAGAATGACTGCAAGTCCACAAGTGGCGTAGCTAACGATGAGCGGAGGGTGCTTCCAAAGATGCGAGGCGCCACAGGCCAGGAACAGCGGCCCATCTGATATGTCTGGCAAGGGAGAGGTGTGGTCAGGCTTTGGCGCAAAGTCAATTCCACGCAGAAAGCATGGAATGCGAGGCATGAGGACAGCGCGCAACCCAAGCAAAGCGCTCCAAGCAAGGAGGCGCTGCTGCGTTTGCAAGCACTTACAGCTGTTTTTTTCAGCACCTCTGACACACACCAAGTTCAAGCGAAAGCAGGCTTGGCCGCACGGGATGATGGCTGAAGCTCTGCACGGATCTTCTCGGTATAGATCGATATCGTCACAAGAATCCATTGTACAGCTGATGAACTTGCGCGGCTGAACCGCCCCAAGAGAAGCCATTGCACGACTGCTGAACTTGTGCGGCTGAAACTTTCGCGGCTGAACCGCCCTCACGTCCCCAAAAGAAGCCATTGCACAGCTGATGAACTTGCGCGGCTGAACCGACCTCAGGTCCCCAAAAGAAGCCATTGCACGGCTGATGAACTTCCGCGGCTGAACCGCCCTCAGGTCCCCAAAAGAAGCCATTGCACAGCTGACGAACTTCTGCAGCTGAACCGCTCTAAGGTCCCAAAAGGAAGCCATTGCACAGCTGGTGAACTTCCGAGGCTGAACCGCCCTCAGGTTCTCAAAGGAAGCCACTGCACGACTGCTGAACATCCGCGGCTGACCCGTCTTGAGGTCCTCAAAAGAAGCCATTGCACAGCTGGTGAACTTCCGAGGCTGACCCGTCCTGAGGTTGCTCAAAGGTCCTCAAAAGAAGCCATTGCACAGCTGGTGAACTTCCGCTGACCCGTCCTGAGGTTCTCAAAGGAAGCCATCCACGACTGCTGAACATCCGCGGCTGACCCGTCTTGAGGTCCTCAAAAGAAGCCATTGCACAGCTGGTGAACTTCCGCGTCTGACCCGTCCTGAGGTTCTCAAAGGAAGCCATTGCACGACTGCTGAACATCCGCGGCTGACCCGTCTTGAGGTCCTCAAAAGAAGCCATTGCACAGCTGGTGAACTTCCGCGTCTGACCCGTCCTGAGGTTCTCAAAGGAAGCCATGTGCACCGCCCTCAGGTCCCGAAAAACAAGCATTGCAAAGCTGATGAATTCCAGGTCCTTCCTGCTTCCGACACTTTGCACACCTTTCGTACCATGACAAGCACCCCGCGCCCGAAAAGCCTTAAGCAACCCAAGAGCTTCAAGTCGGTCTTTGCAAAAGGCTCGGGGGCCCGCCGTGATCTGCGTCATCGTCAGGAGGGACTTTCGGGCGGTGCCAAAGGGTCTCGCGAAGGCCGCGCAGCCTGACATGCCAGGACGCAAAGCTGGGCCAGGTGCTAGCGACTCGTAGAGATCCACCGTGCAAGGCTGCAAGCTCCTTGCGGATTTGGGACGCTGGTGCGCTGGCATGTGGAACAAGAGCGGCTGATCAATGCATTCACTGCAAGCGGAGGTCAGTGAGCAGCCGGCTAATCTCCAAGTGCGCACGGCGGCACTCCGGTCCTGCAAAGAATTGTTGCCACGCGGCCCGAACAGCCGGGAGATTTGCAGGCAACTCGCAAGGCCAACTTTGGATGGGGCGGTGGACCAAGCGAGCTCTTGAAAAGGCGTGCAAGAGTTCATGGCGGCACTTGGGCCAGCACGCACCAAGACCCGGTGGCAAATGACTGTGTTGCGCAGCTTCCACACCAGGCAATGGCAGGAGAACCGCTGATGACCTCTTGACACTGCGTGCAAAAGATCCTCAAGTTGCCAAAGCGCGGGGTCACGGGCAACGGGAACTCGGGAAGTTGCGGGTCTGCGAGGGATCTGCCCAATCCTAGCGCAGGGCCCCGATGTGACAGGGCCTGGCGGCGCTGCAGGGGCAACGGAGGTTCTCTGGCCGGTCTGATGCAGAACATGGCTCGGTGCAGCAGGCAAATGTTTGATGGCCCCCTCGCGCAAATGCTTGATGTCCAGCAGTTCCCACTCCAAGCAACTGGTAGCCCAGAAAACAAGCAGCTGGCCTTTGCGTCGCCAGGTGCGAGAAGCATGTCTGCATGGTGCCAAGGCCAAAGGAAAGCTGGCACAGCCTTGCTTGCTTTCGTTGGACTCTGGGAACGCGCAGGGCGCGAGGCGCAGCCTCGCGCACGGCTCTCTGCGCCCTCGGTGCACAGCGGACCCCGAGCGGCCGCCTCGCGGCACAGCGCAGTCTGCGCTGAAGGCTCGGCCCACGCCAAACGCAGCAGCTGAGGCTGCGAGGAGTTGCTGCTCCGGTGGGCTGAGGAGTTGCCAGGCCACTGATCCACCCGAGTTGTGCGCTTCGAAGTGGCAGCCTCAGGCAAAGAACAGCCCAAAAACATGGCCCACAGCACTGCCCATGGTCAGACGTTGTTTTCAAACTATATGAGTACTGGCATGTTGCTTTCTCCCAACAACCCCAAGTTCGGATGTGACAGCCGAGGGGCGGTTGGGCAGTGCCAGCCTTGATTGCAGGATTTCAGCGGCAAGTCCATAGTGAAAGTCCGCCAGAAACGTCTCACCTGTCAACTTCAGACTCGGAAAGCAGCGGCAAAAACAACCTTGGCCTCTTGCAACAGAGTGAGCAATTCCAAGCTGGGAAACGCGGAATCCCCCAGTACCTGACCCTCATGGTGACTCCATTTGCCTCTGAGTGCCACGAAAACAATCAGATCGACTTTTGAAGAGGATCTGAAAGCCGTACCGTGCTTGACCCCAACCCCCAGAGGGCGAAGGTGAAACGGTTGGCTTCCCTCGGCTTCGTTTTCAGCTTCCGGAGCCCAAAATCGGCGGGAGATCCGGAGAGCAAGATCCGAAACATCCCCACGCCGAATTCAGATGGCTCCCAGTGGAAACCCCGAAGCATGCCTTCAAAAAGACGCACTCAACATGCTTGACGACATGACTGACAATTTCGACAGCAAGGAATTCGGTGGGAGCAAGGACCCGACATAGTTGGGTAGGAGAAATGAGCTAAACGCATGCGAACACGAATCTCCCATGATGAGGCAATTATGGCCCACAAACCCAGTCTATCCATTGGCTTCTGCAACTTGGCTCCCAGCATACTCGAGAAAAATCACCTGGGTGTCTTTTTCGAGGGTACCCAACCATGGTTGGGTTCAATGGAAACCGACAGGAAACCCAGCCATTACCAAGCAGCCCCGATGTTCCGTGAACCTGTCGGCCTTGTCGTGCACCCGATTCGCGGCGCAGACCTTGTTGCCGCGTGGGCGGTTGCTTCTCAACAGGGTCCCCCGCAACTAGAAGCAAACCAAAATGAAATGAAACCCACCTGCAAGGGCCCCCAACATCCCAACATTGGACAGTACAGGTCCAGAAGCAGTGGTTCAACCCCCCCCGATCATCAACGAAGGGCTAGCTGGCTATGGGTGTTTCTCGAAATAGGAACCCTCTGAACTGGCGTAGGGTTTCCTGTGAAGAACAACAGGACGCCCAGGCAGTTGGTGTTTTTTTCCAGGAATTTGAGCGTGTCGTCAAAAATGTTCTCCAAAGCTGACCATTCGGTGGATTCGGCTGATGAACCCGCTAGTCCTATCTGGCGGCGCGCCATGGCAACATGGGAACCCAAACCCCTGGTTTTCGTAGGTTCCATGTATATAGCACCGGGAAATATGGTGCCCCCCCCCCGAAACACGAGAAACCATTGAAGAACCCTTTTCCAGGGATGTGGCTTCCAGATGGGAGTTTGATACGGGCGTGTCTTTTCAGGGTACCCATTCTGGGGTGGGGTTAAAGGGAAGCAGAAGGGGAACCCACCGTTTTGGGGATCCCCTATGTTAAGGCACTCCCATGTAAGTATATCGGAATGTGCCAAAACATGGGGGAACACAACATCGGTCGTTTTCGTTTTGGCTTCTCTTAGAAGGGTCCCTCAGAAAACACAAGCCCATATCGCCCATATCGCCCATATCGCCCATAGCATCCCTGGCGCCATTTGGGCGCAGGGCGAGCTGCGGAATCAGCGGGGACCTCGGGGCAACGGACCCATCCCAAGCCGAACGTGTTCTCGTTTGTCTGGGGAAGTGGTGAGGCCAAATTGGGTAGGGCTGCCCGGCCAGGCCAAATCGGGCAGTAAACCTACCCGGTCCTTCTCAGCAAAAAGGTGTCTTGGGGCTGTCCCAAAAACGATGAAGGTAGCAATGCCCCGAAAAATGCAGATAGAGGTCACAGCCAGAGAACCCCTTTTGAGTCGAACTCAAATGCGGCCCTTTGCCAGTTGGAGGGAAACTGTTCAACCGCTTCTGGGATCCCTCAAACAAAATCATCACTAAAATGGTAGCGTATAAGCTTGTGCCACCCCACAGGCAACCCTTCCAGAACCCTTCCGGAACCCTTTCTGAACCCTCCCGAAAGCTCCCTCAAACCACCCAGAGCCTATCTGGGCAGAGACGCCATACATAAAAAGCACCGCCGTTCACGTCGCACAGTTCAATCCTTCTTTTTCCGCACAGTGAACCCAAAATTCCGAGTTGATTTGTGCAGTAGGCGTACACTTTGGGAATCAAAGCGCCAGGAAAAGCGCAAGCCGCTTTGCAGATCGTGTTTCCCGAAATTGGGGAGCCCTTCATTTCATTTGCCCCAGTGACTTTGGTGGAAACTGTTCGAACCCTGTTGCGGTTGATTGCCTGTTGGCTATCTCAGTGTTCTTGATATGCTTTCAGTTCCGACGTACAGGTTCTCTTCCTATTTAGTGGCGCCAAAAAGAAATTAACTTTGCTGACCCTTGGGAAGCCATCGTGGTGTGGGAAATAAAGTATGGTCCACATGTGGGCTACACAGAAAGTCCATATGTTCGGCTGTTGCTTCATACGCAGCCTACAATATGAAATAGTTGTAGAGGAGACCTTTAAGCCACCAAAAGGGAACCAACAGGTCAGCTCTGGTCGATTCCCTTTGCGCGAAAGCAAGGCCCCCCGCCTGCAGCCAGTGTCGCCGCTCAGATCTCAATGAGCCATGGAACGGAAAGGAAACCATTTTGGAGGTTCCCTGATTGTGCCTCAAGCCAAGTTCCTCAGTCATAAAGACCACCCAGGGGCCCTTGCCAGAAATTTAAATGAGAGGGATCAGTCCGAAAGGAGCCAGTGGATTTTCAGGGGGACAAGGTACCCCACCCCAAGCAAGAAGCACACCACACCGCCGGAGGCGCTGGAGTTTTCCAATCCAAGGCACAGAGTGCTGTGCCAAATACCGGCGATCGAGTCCTGCGGCCGGCCAACTTGCACCAAAAACACTGGTCTGATGTGGGGCACCCCACATGGGTAGCCGGTTCCAGAATGTACACAATTGCCCTTCGGTGCAAGCTGGAACCCGCTTATTAGAAGCCGTTCAGGGTCACTCTCAGCCCTGCAGCTAAGAGGGACATGCATTTGGATCCATGGACAATGTTGCGAAGATTCTCGGCTGTTCTTTCACGTGCTGCGTTGTCTTTTGCCTCTGGTGACCCTCCCTTGTGCCACCCTTTTCCCCCAAACACCACTGACACACACACACACACACACACACACACACACACACACACACACACACACACACACACACGCCCTCCCCAAATGCCGTCGGCCACGTTGCCACGAACTGCCCACGGCCACCCCATACACACCAGAGAGACCCAGACACCACCCCAACACGCCCACCTGACACCTACAAGCACAGCATCACTTCTAGGGGTATCACGCCAAAGAGAACAAACAAAAAAGAAGTCAAACCAAACATGGCAACCCTGACGAAACGCGGATAAATGCAACCTGCACGAATTTCTGACCGAATTCGATGTCTGTTGAAGAAAGTCAAGGAACCCTCCATGGCAAAAGGTGGAGCGAAAGTCTGGCAACAGATTCACTTCTGGAACGAACAAAAACCAACTCCAGGACCTGGTTGCTTTCTGCCATGTTATCCGATCCACTTGGCGATCCCAGATTTGGGGTACAGACAATCAGCAAAGAGTCGGTTTCATATAGAGTCCACCCGAGAAAAGTACAAGAACGGGGCTCCAGACGCCGGAAAAGGCGGGAGAAGGTCAAAGAGATGGGGCGAAAAACTTGCTTGATTTAGTACTACAAACGCAACCCCACTCGAATCATTTAGCCCCTGTCCTAAAAGTAGATGCAAACCCGTTGTTGATTCCGGGTCTGACAACAGGGGCTGGTTGAATTCCAGAGCTCTCTGTGTTTCCAATAAACACCATTAGGCCAGAATTGTGATGCTTACACCAAAATGAACAAAAAATATGAGAGTGTCTTTCTTTGAGGGCACACATTTTGGGGTTAACACCAAGTTTAGGGCTGCCCTTTGAAACCCTCCCAACCTGGAAAACACCGGAAAATCTGGTTGCACGTGCATTTAGGCTGAGGCGTGATTTTGGTGTTGCAAGGAAACCAAGAAGGAAAACATGCACTTTTGGGGGGGGGGGTCCCAGAAACCGACACACCCACAAAGGACCCCGTGTCAACGCCTTCTTCTCGCGCATCCTCTTCGAGGCCTCGCTCCCCGTCACCCGGATCATGACGGGAGACCCGAGCTTTCGTGTTCACCCTGACAAGGGTAAATCTTTTTTGGGCAGAGTTATGAAGGCTGATAGCCCTTGCCTAACCTCCGAGCGTAGAATCGTACAACACCCGTTTTTAAGCAGAAGGGACGTGGGACACGAAAGCGCACCAAAGGTGATGGGTCTTGGCCGGAAGGTTCCCATACAACAACCATGGGCTCCGTCCATCCAGAGCTCACGGCAAAACGGTCAAACTCGAAAAAATACGAAAGGAAAAAGGCTAGGAAGAAGGCTTGGAATTCGCGGCAGGAAGCCTTGGGCCAAATACGCCCTCCACCAAAGCAATACGTTCCCCGCCTGTCTGAGGCGCGATGCATTGGTTCTCTGCCATGGCTTGGGCTGACTTGACGCTCAGTGGTCACCCCCTTGTCCTTGACCCAGGTTGGAGGGTGCTTTGTGACAACTTTACTGAAATCCGGCCAACTCTTCCTTGAAGACCCTGACAAAATGGACAAGGGGGTGGAACACTGCTCATCGGCCCATACGAAGGCTCCCGCATGGCAGCATGGCAGGCCCGGGAAGTCCTTGAGGGCAAGGCTTTGCGGAGCTCTTCCTGATGGTCGTTTTACAGTTGTATGGTGCGTGTAGAGAAGATTTTGTTACGTAAAATATGTCTGTCTATCTGTATATTTGCATATCTATGTTGCCTTCTCGTGGAGCAAGTGCTCGTCCGTTGCCCCCACACCCAATGCGTTCGGGTACTCCAAACGGAACAGTTCCCCCACCAAGTTTCCACAGAAACACCTTCAATCAGCAGGCCAAGACCAGCCTGTTACAAAGGGAACACAAGCGATCAGAAGCCAAAGCAACATCAACCCACTGAAGAGGCGCAACGTCAGTGGCCAGCCAGCATCAAAAGCGACGTCCCCAGCAACCAAAGCCAGAAGCCGCACAAGATTCATTGCAGTCATTGCACTCATCACTTTTGCCGCCTCGGGCTGTCGAAGGCGCCCGGCTTGGCTCACCGCTTCCTGCGATCGTCCACACGCCGCGAGCAACGTTGTCTTTGCCGCTTCCCTACCCTTGAACGTGTCAAGCTACACGGCACCAAGCATGGAAATGCGTCAAGAGCCTTTTTGTTCTCATGTGCCGCACGCATCCCACGTCTTAAGGCCTGTGAGGTTGGTGTTTAAATGCCAAACCCAGTCCAGCCCCGTGAGGAAAAAAGGAACGGCGCAGTGCCTTGGCCAAATGAGCAGATCGCTCATCGCCAGGTCTTTTCAAAGCGGGTTCGCATGCTGAAAGACCACGCGTTGTAAGTCTTCACTCGGAGGTAGACTTCCTTGCGATTCTCCAAGAACTTTTGCCGGCATATTGCTCGAGCCAGCTCTTTCGACCAATGGCAGTTGGTGGTTTTATAGTGCACCAAGGCGCAAACCGCGTCGTGGGGCCACCACCATTTCCTGTACCACTTGTACCACTTCATGTAGGCTGCGTCGTTCTTCGTCGGCGCGGGGTCATGGTGATGCCAGCAATAGCTCTTGACTGCTGGGGCAAGGCCGTGCACGGGCCAGTATGCCGCGGCATTGACCTGAACAGCTTTGGCTAGCCACCATGGCCTCCACTCGTAGGTGATTCCCATCTTGCCAATGAAGGGGTAGTACTCAAGGGTGGGGAGACTCATACAAACCGAACTCTTCTTGAAGATGTCTAAGACCGTCTTCAAAGCAGAGCCGGCGTTGAAGCACAGTGACAGCACAAGATTGAGGTTGAAGGTGTGAAAGAACACTCTTGCGTTGTCGCAACTGGCCGAGGCACCCACGCTGAGGACGAAGGTCAGGAAGTCCCCGGGTTTCACCCCGATGCAAGCCTCGCAGTTCACGCTGAAGCATGGCGTGTTGGCACCCGTCAGCCCCGATTTGAGCACATTCAACACGTTCTTGGCCAAGTCCCCAGCTGTGTCCGGGGTGTCTGCTTCAACAGACATCGCAAATGGGGTGGACATGCAAACGGCCTTGTTGGGGCCAGTGCATACCGTGCAGGAGATCGGCGTATCACAAGGGCCAATGGGAATGAGTCGCTGTTGACTCTGATTCGTGTAGCTCTGAACAGCAGACATCGGGGCCTTTCCAGCGGTGTTCACCAAGGAATCAGGCTGCGATCCATCTCCTGCACGCTCCTGGATCATGGCCTCCACCAATTCCCCAGTGCGCGCCACTGCATCAGCGTGCACCGCCTGACAAACCAGAGAAGGTCTTTGCTGGGCGCAGATGCAGTCCACATAGGCTTTGACATCCTCGTTGTGTAAGGACCAATGGCTCGGCTCGTGTGTGGCCATGTCCTCGCGCTCGCTGCAGTGCGCATCGCGGGTGTCACCATGCAGGGCGACGTAGTGCTTCTCATCCAGGCGGTGCAAGCGTTGAAGCTGCTTCTCCAACAGCGGGCCCCGCGCTGCCTCATGCACGAGGCTCACCAAGGAGTGGTTCATGAAGATGCCGGGCCGGCTCTTCTCGTCGCCCTGGTGGTCGGTGTGTTGCTTCAAGTGGTGCAGCACGTGGTGACCCAGGCGGTTGGACTCGTCGTGCAACGCCATGGCTGCCTTGGCGTGGAACTCCAGCTCCTGCAAGTGGTTCGCCGCCTTCTTCAGGTGCGAACGCTCCAGGAAGGAGCTGCCACAGTGAGCCTCCGCCTTCACGCCGGCATGGTGCACAAAGTAGTCCAGATCAAGCGACCTGCGCAGACCAATCCGCTTACAAAGAGCTGGCAAGGACGGCACGGCTAAGACTCGAAAAAAAGGAATGCGAGACAAGTCAATGGTAAGAAAATTCTACTAGAAGGCACCGGCGCTCGCTTCACACTGACTTCAGCTCGATCAAGACGAAACCAACAACATATGAAGGGTGTCGGATTTGTTTTGAACCCCAGGGCCTGTCGTGACACTTGTCCACGGTGTCACCCGTGATGGTTTCTGCCTCAACGATGGCCTCAATGCTGGGATGGCCATCGTGCTCCCGGAGAGTCAGCGCATCCTCGATCATGACGCCCAAGGCGTCCGCCTCACTGGCGTCATTGCACATGGTGGCCAAGTGCTCCACTTCCTTGGCAAAGTCGTCCACCGCAGTCTGGCCGATGTGGATGTGCTGCAGGACTTGCTCGGCGTCTATCTCAAACTGCTTCTCCACCAGGTGATGTGCAGCACCGCGAGCTCTCATCTCCACGGCCGCGGCCATCTGATCCTGTCCAACGGGCTCCACTCTTGCGGCAAACTCTGCTTCGACGATGGCCTGCCACTCTTCGGTATCCTCCTGCGACTGGGCATTCTGAATCTGCTGCTCGAGGCACAGCAACATGCCCTCGAACTCGACCTGAGTCCTAATCAAAACCTGGTACAAAAATGGTGAACCCAGAACCATGTAAAGAATTACGCAACTCGGATTTCCGCAACTCGGATTTCCACAACTATTTCCGGCTGGGAGTATCCCTTAACCGGATCATCCACCCGAATCGGTTTTGCTTCTGACTCACCTGGTCGGCCTCCGTGACGGGCAAAATGTGCTGCGCCTTGGCCAGCTCCTGCTGCACCACCTGCTCCACCCTGGAGATCCCGTCCGCGCCATCGGGGCACTCCACGGGGCACACGTCCGCCACCGTGGCGTCCAAATCCACTGCCGGAGGAGGAGCAATTCCCGGGCACTTCACGCGCCACGTACCCCCGCAGCCCCAAGAAGCCGCCACTGCGTCACACTCGGCGTCTTCGAGGCACAGAGGGAGAGGATTGGAAATCTTGTACGCGACAGCATTCAAGACACCCGCCAAGATAATCCCAGCAATCTGGGTTTGCTTCATTTCCACTCTATATGAATGTAAGTGTCCGCCGCCTATTCAGCACGGACAAAAAAGGTTGCTTGAACCACACCCAGCCAGACATGCAAAGCTCTTCCCAGCCTCAGTTTGGATGGGCTGGTGCAACTCCCCGGCCATGAAGTTGGGCTTTTAAAAGACTCTGCAGGCACCCTGCCCTTCTCCCATCCCCGCCTTTCTCATCCTTGCCTCAGAGAGTCAGACAGCGAATCCCTCCCTTTGCGTTTCGAAGCCAAGCAGGATCATACAACACCCCTTTTTGGAGAAGGGACGTGCTGGTCGAAAAAAATACGAAAGGAAAAAGGCTAGGAAGAAGGCTTGGAATTCGCGGCAGGAAGCCTTGGGCCAAATACGCCCTCCACCAAAGCAATACGTTCCCCGCCTGTCTGATGTCTGAGGCGCGATGCATTGGTTCTCTGCCATGGCTTGGGCTGACTTGATGCTCAGTGGTCACCCCTTTGTCCTTGACCCAGGTTGGAGGGTGCTTTGTGACAACTTTACTGAAATCCGGCCAACTCTTCCTTGAAGACCCTGACAAAATGGACAAGGGGGTGGAACACTGCTCATTGGAGGCTCCCGCATGGCAGCATGGCAGGCCCGGGAAGTCCTTGAGGGCAAGGCTTTGCGGAGCTCTTCCTGATGGTCGTTTTACAGTTGTATGGTGCGTGTAGAGAAGATTTTGTTACGTAAAAAATGTCTGTCTATCTGTATATTTGCATATCTATGTTGCCTTCTCATGGAGCAAGTACTCGTCCGTTGCCCCCACACCCAATGCGTTCGGGTACTCCAAACGGAACAGTTCCCCCACCAAGTTTCCACAGAAACACCTTCAATCAGCAGGCCAAGACCAGCCTGTTACAAAGGGAACACAAGCGATCAGCAGCCAAAGCCACATCAGCAACCCACTGAAGAGGCGCAACGTCAGTGCCAGTCAGCATCAAAAGCGACGTCACCAGCAACCAAAACCAGAAGCCGCACAAGATTCATTGCAGTCATTGCGCTCATCTTTTTTTTGCCGCCTCGGGCTGTCGAAGGCGCCCGGCTTGGCTCACCGCTTCCTGCCGCGATCGTCCACACGCCGCGAGCAACGTTGTCTTTGCCGCTTCCCTACCCTTGAACGTGTTAAGCTACACGGCACCAAGCATGGAAATGCGTCAAGAGCCTTTTTGTTCTCATGTGCCGCATCCCACGTCTTAGGGCAAAATTATTTCAGCCGCGTGAGAAAAAAATGACGGCGCAGTGCCTGGGCCAGATGAGCAGATTGCTCATCGCCAGGTCTTTTCAAAGCGGGTTCGCATGCTGAAAGACCACGCGTTGTAAGTCTTCACTCGAAGGTAGACTTCCTTGCGATTCTCCAAGAACTTTTGCCGGCATATTGCTCGAGCCAGCTGTTTCGACCAATGGCAGTTGGTGGTTTTATAGTGCACCAAGGCGCAAGCCGCGTCGTGGGGCCACCACCATTTCCTGTACCACTTGTACCACTTCATGTAGGCTGCGTCGTTCTTCGTCGGCGCGGGGTCATGGTGATGCCAGCAATAGCTCTTGACTGCTGGGGCAAGGCCGTGCACGGGCCAGTATGCCGCGGCATTGACCTGAACAGCTTTGGCTAGCCACCATGGCCTCCACTCGTAGGTGATTCCCATCTTGCCAATGAAGGGGTAGTACTCAAGGGTGGGGAGACTCATACAAACCGAACTCTTCTTGAAGATGTCTAAGACCGTCTTCAAAGCAGAGCCGGCGTTGAAGCACAGTGACAGCACAAGATTGAGGTTGAAGGTGTGAAAGAACACTCTTGCGTTGTCGCAACTGGCCGAGGCACCCACGCTGAGGACGAAGGTCAGGAAGTCCCCGGGTTTCACCCCGATGCAAGCCTCGCAGTTCACGCTGAAGCATGGCGTGTTGGCACCCGTCAGCCCCGATTTGAGCACATTCAACACGTTCTTGGCCAAGTCCCCAGCTGTGTCCGGGGTGTCTGCTTCAACAGACATCGCAAATGGGGTGGACATGCAAACGGCCTTGTTGGGGCCAGTGCATACCGTGCAGGAGATCGGCGTATCACAAGGGCCAATGGGAATGAGTCGCTGTTGACTCTGATTCGTGTAGCTCTGAACAGCAGACATCGGGGCCTTTCCAGCGGTGTTCACCAAGGAATCAGGCTGCGATCCATCTCCTGCACGCTCCTGGATCATGGCCTCCACCAATTCCCCAGTGCGCGCCACTGCGTCAGCGTGCACCGCCTGACAAACCAGAGAAGGTCTCCGCTGGGCGCAGATGCAGTCCACATAGGCTTTGACATCCTCGTTGTGTAAGGACCAATGGCTCGGCTCGTGTGTGGCCATGTCCTCGCGCTCGCTGCAGTGCGCATCGCGGGTGTCACCATGCAGGGCGACGTAGTGCTTCTCATCCAGGCGGTGCAAGCGTTGAAGCTGCTTCTCCAACAGCGGGCCCCGCGCTGCCTCATGCACGAGGCTCACCAAGGAGTGGTTCATGAAGATGCCGGGCCGGCTCTTCTCGTCGCCCTGGTGGTCCGTGTGTTGCTTCAAGTGGTGCAGCACGTGGTGACCCAGGCGGTTGGACTCGTCGTGCAACGCCATGGCTGCCTTGGCGTGGAACTCCAGCTCCTGCAAGTGGTTCGCCGCCTTCTTCAGGTGCGAACGCTCCAGGAAGGAGCTGCCACAGTGAGCCTCCGCCTTCACGCCGGCATGGTGCACAAAGTAGTCCAGATCAAGCGACCTGCGCAGACCAATCCGCTTACAAAGAGCTGGCAAGGACGGCACGGCTAAGACTCGAAAAAAAGGAATGCGAGACAAGTCAATGGTAAGAAAATTCTACTAGAAGGCACCGGCGCTCGCTTCACACTGACTTCAGCTCGATCAAGACGAAACCAACAACATATGAAGGGTGTCGGATTTGTTTTGAACCCCAGGGCCTGTCGTGACACTTGTCCACGGTGTCACCCGTGATGGTTTCTGCCTCAACGATGGCCTCAATGCTGGGATGGCCATCGTGCTCCCGGAGAGTCAGCGCATCCTCGATCATGACGCCCAAGGCGTCCGCCTCACTGGCGTCATTGCACATGGTGGCCAAGTGCTCCACTTCCTTGGCAAAGTCGTCCACCGCAGTCTGGCCGATGTGGATGTGCTGCAGGACTTGCTCGGCGTCTATCTCAAACTGCTTCTCCACCAGGTGATGTGCAGCACCGCGAGCTCTCATCTCCACGGCCGCGGCCATCTGATCCTGTCCAACGGGCTCCACTCTTGCGGCAAACTCTGCTTCGACGATGGCCTGCCACTCTTCGGTATCCTCCTGCGACTGGGCATTCTGAATCTGCTGCTCGAGGCACAGCAACATGCCCTCGAACTCGACCTGAGTCCTAATCAAAACCTGGTACAAAAATGGTGAACCCAGAACCATGTAAAGAATTACGCAACTCGGATTTCCGCAACTCGGATTTCCACAACTATTTCCGGCTGGGAGTATCCCTTAACCGGATCATCCACCCGAATCGGTTTTGCTTCTGACTCACCTGGTCGGCCTCCGTGACGGGCAAAATGTGCTGCGCCTTGGCCAGCTCCTGCTGCACCACCTGCTCCACCCTGGAGATCCCGTCCGCGCCATCGGGGCACTCCACGGGGCACACGTCCGCCACCGTGGCGTCCAAATCCACTGCCTGAGGAGGAGCAATTCCCGGGCACTTCACGCGCCACGTACCCCCGCAGCCCCAAGAAGCCGCCACTGCGTCACACTCGGCGTCTTCGAGGCACAGAGGGGGAGGATTGGAAATCTTGTACGCGACAGCATTCAAGACACCCGCCAAGATAATCCCAGCAATCTGGGTTTGCTTCATTTCCACTCTATATGAATGTAAGTGTCCGCCGCCTATTCAGCACGGACAAAAAAGGTTGCTTGAACCACACCCAGCCAGACATGCAAAGCTCTTCCCAGCCTCAGTTTGGATGGGCTGGTGCAAATCCCCGGCCATGAAGTTGGGCTTTTAAAAGACTGCTCTGCAGGCACCCTGCCCTCCCATGGTCCCCGCCTTTCTCATCCTTGCCTCAGAGAGTCAGACAGCGAGTCTCTCCCTTTGCGTTTCGAAGCCCGCACCTCCAGAAAAGCTCCAGTGCCACCTGGAGAGCTCACATCGCCATGGCCGAGCCTTGCGTGCGTCAGCCGTCTCCGCAATCTGCGGTCAATGCTTTGAGGCTCTTCGGGGAAATTCCAGCCCGTGCCGGACTACTTCATGCGCCCCTGCAAGCCGCAAGTTGAGCTCGAGCCACGCGAAGTGATATCAGTGATATCGTGATGCACTGGGCTCAAGTTACAAGCAGCAAGGAGCCCTTTCTTGGAAAGCACAAATACGGCAGAGTCATCACTGCTTCTGCAGCACTTGAAGTTTGAAATGCTTGCTTCCTGTCAAAGGTGGCACGAATTCAAAGCCAGCTTTGAAAGATCCGGTCCTGGCTGCGTACAAAACCGCATTTTACGATTACCTATTTTAAAATTGCAAATTGGGTCACGGCTCTTTCATGAAAGCCAGCAAGCCGAGAAAGAGCAAATGCCCCCTGACCACAGCATTCCATTGCCCACTCGTGTCCACGAGCTGGCTCTTTTCATGGAACATGCGCGCAAGAAGAAGGAGTGGACCAAGAGGAGAGTGAGACCGGCGTCAGAACTGCGCGCCGATGACATGTGGTCCATGCACCCGATCATCAGGTTCGCCAAGCCTTCCATGATGACCAGGTAGGGGAACTGCCTCCTTTGGCAACACTTCCTCCGTGGCCTTGAACAGTGCCTGAGCCGGGGGTAAACTTTCTGGGGCTGTTTCAAGCGGGAGCCCAAAAACACTCCCTTCTTTGGGGTTCCATATCCCAATTGAGACTAACCGCTCAGTGGCCTCCAAATCCAGAAATTCCCATTGTGTCACAAAGGCAAATGACAATGCATTATGTTTTTTATCCACCAGTGCCTCTGCCCCCTGGCAATGTCAGCAAAGGGCACGAGGATCCAACAGAAAGATATATATATATATGTTTACAACTCCGTTGCAGGTGGCAACATAAAAATAGCTGAGCGATCACCGCATTTTCTCCATCGCTCCAAGTCAGGATTTGGGCACACCGACCACACAGGTCGAGGAAAGTCAATCAGGAGCACCGCAGTGAAAATAGTGAATCCCAAGCCAGCACCAGAGATGTGGCATCACCAAAAGAAAATCACTGCAGTCATCAAAGGATTGACCAGCCAACCATGCAAGGAAAAGTTCTGGGGGGCTTGCCCCGGGCGGGCTGGGTGGGGCCGAGATTCTACCACCCATTGCATTGGAAACATTGTCCCCATGTTTACAACTCCATTGCAGGTGGCAACATAAAAATAGCTGAGCGATCACCGCATTTTCTCCATCGCTCCAAGTCAGGATTTGGGCACACCGACCACACAGGTCGAGGAAAGTCAATCAGGAGCACCGCAGTGAAAATAGTGAATCCCAAGCCAGCACCAGAGATGTGGCATCACCAAAAGAAAATCACTGCAGTCATCAAAGGATTGACCAGCCAACCATGCAAGGAAAAGTTCCCTTCCAACTTTAGGAGCCACGGTCCAGGTCACGAAGGACGAGTGCAGACAAAGGCGTTGCGTTTGTCAAGACCCTGGAAATACAGCAAAAACCAGCAAGGGGAAGGTAGCAGCAAAAGCCATGATCGAGGAACGCGAATCAGAAGACAAAGACCCAAGTATATTCAAGGCAGCGACTTCCTGCAAATAGCTTTCAAGTGTTGTCTGCGACCGAAGCCTCATCAGCCAAAGCAAATCAGCAACGGGTTTGCCAGCTCTGTAATGGAAAACGGCGCTTCCTCCTCTCAATCCGCCTGGCGTCAGCTTACGCTCAGCAGGAATGCCCAAATCGGCCAAAAGTAGGTTCCAGCGCATTCGGTACTGATAATGAGAGGCCGGGAAAAGCCGGTCATCCATAGGGAGCTTGTTGAAGATAATGGTCAAAAGCTTCACAGCAACCTGGTCACTAATCTTCATATGTTGCACTTTTGCAGGTTGGCGGTGTAGGCTTTTAAACCTTCGCAGTCGAAGGAAAACTGCACCAGACAAATCACAGAGGTCGCAGGGGAGGACCAGATCCTGTCTAAGGCAGGAAATCACTTCACCAAGTCGGCCAGCGCCATAAAATGCAATCAATGTAATACCAACCCAGGAAAACCACTTTCGCTGCCAGGCTAGGCAGCACATAGCCTTTACCAGGACCTCCGGAACAGGAGCGCGATGCGTCACTGGATATTGCACCTCCCATCGTTCAACCAGCTCCCAAGCAGATTGCATACAAGGGCGTGAAGCCGAACACCACCTCTGCGCTGCCAACAGCAGGTGCCTAAAATTAAACAAGGAGCCACCACGCTGGAAGCTGTAATCACCATATGCTCGGAGACAGGTTGGCAAAAAAGCAGGAACCAGGTGGAAAAGACTCTCAAAGTTTGTGTTCCCAGAGCGCAGGCGGCACCAGCTGAAGAAGGCTCCCAATTCGCGAGCTTGGATTGCAAGAGTGGCCGCGCTCAAGGTCTGCACCTCCTCAAGGGAAAAGGCATGCTGTTGCTTCCGTCCACGTGGCCCGGGGTTTTGGGCCTCGCCAACACGCAGTGTGTCACATCGGCTGCAGCGAGCAACGTTCAACTTGCTCTTCCCGACCCATCCAGCTGAAGTGCAAAGAGATGCTGCCAACATCCTGCAAAGGCCTCGCGGGTAGGGCTGAGCTACAAGCGTCCACGGGATCCTCTTTGCTGCACACATGCCACGCAACTGCAGGTGGGGTCTGGTGCACTGGCACCACATAGTCACTCCACTCAAAGGCCCGTTGGTTGCAATTCTAGTGGCTTTTCGCCACTTCGTTCCAAACCGGCAGAAACACAGACGGAACAGCTTTGGCCCATGTGAGTTCCTGAACTGTCGCCAAGATCTCTGACGCCACCACCATGACAAATCTGGGTTTTCGACCCACCAAGTCATACCGACAGATTCAACAAGGCTCACAAGGTGTCGCATCCAGTCTGAATGGCTGTTGCCCTCTTTGACCCTCTGACGCATCGAGTGACGTAGCCCCGGGATTCCACGAGGGTACTGGTGGCTTCGCACCGGCGGTGTGATTGCAACGCTGAAGCTCGAACAAATAGGAGCTGCACCAAGGGTGAGGAAGGCACCTAAGGAAATCAACTTCTCAATCTTTGAACGAAGCTCACATTGCAGCAAGTCCTCATTAGCAGACCTCGCGTAGTCGAATGTCAGCACCCACGGGCAGCCCAGCTCAATCATAGCTTTGGCGACGCCGCACCTTCCGCTGAAGAGATCAAGCCCACCAGGAAGTGAAAAGTCAGGACAATTGCCGGTGTAAAAGAACTGGCTCTTCTTGAACGTCCGCAGCAGCATCTCAACTTCAGTCATCTCCTGGTGATCGAGGCACACACCATCGGCATCCTCTTCAGCATTCACCCTTCTCGCACGAGCCCGCAATCTGTTGCCACGCTTGCGTCGTATCACACTGTTGGGTCTTAAGTCAACCGCATCGCAACTGTACAATTCGGAAAAATCAATGCCAGCAAGCAAACTGTGAGCACCATGATCCTCAAGCCACGCATCAAAAGAATCAAACCGCTGTTCGATCACATCATTCCACCATTCCGGGAGTGGGGCAGATACATCCGGTGTGTCAGCATCCCTTGTGGGTCCATCAGCAGGATTCCAGGACGAGGGAAAATACATATACATACCATAGATGTCAGAGCCAATAGCAGGAGCAACCGATCTCTTCATCTCCGCATTCAAGGATGAAGAAGCAGAGCGGCCTTTGATGACCGCCCCCAAGCAAACCTGTGAGTCAATGCCGTGCAATGCCCTAACACTCTTGTACTTCGAGGCAAGCCGACGTTCCTGCTTTAGGTGCGCTCGAAGCTCCAGGATGTTAATATGGGTTTTGCGACGGACTTCACACCTCCAATCGGTCTTGTACTGAATGCATCTCGCAAGCAGAATCCAGAGAGGGTGTGTTTGATAGACCACCTCATCATCCGGCAGCTCATGGTCAGGTTGAAGGAGACCGTGCCCACGCTGCCACGCCCGGATCGGAGATAACAGCTTGGTCCAGACACCTTTTCGCAGAGAAAAGCGAGACGCCTCAGCAACGATGTTTCGAGGGCAAAAAGCCGATACACCAGCCATCCAGCCTTCTGAGGCGTCCGTAGCAACGACCTGCTCAAGGAAGTCTGCCCGAAGGTTAACACAACTCAACGTAGCCAAGACCACCAACGACCCAAGTTCGGATAACAGCTCTGGGGAAAGCCGTATGATCGCCTTCTGGTCGGCAATGCCAAGGGGTTCAAAAATAAGATCAAGGATGCAAAAGAGCTTCCTCCGTAGTCCCAGCAATGAAACCCAACTTCCTGCAAGAGCCTCGATCAGGCTGACGGTGCAAAGGCCCAAAGTCACCACCCGCATAGTCACCAAGCAAATAGGCCAGAGGCGTAGCGAAGACGGTCGAAGAAGTCCAGCAACTCCGTCAATTTCAAGGCCCCAAAAACGACACTTGTCCTCATTGGCGAAGGCTTTCTTCGGGTTCGATTCAAGGCCAACAGAGGTGTAAGCATTTCTCGCGGCCGCCATCCTAGCATCAGCTTTTGTGGCGACCTTGGAGTTCCGCTGCGTCTTCAGGATCTGTTCGAGGACGATCAAATCGTCCACAATGATCCCCACTTGTAGCAAGCCCCGCGGTACAGAACCTCGAAGGGAAAGCAATTCACCCACGGCAGCGACCCCGAACTGCAAGCACATCGCCAAGTGCGAACATTGCGCAAACTCTACAGCGCAACAATCGCCCATGGCCAGCGTGGAAAGCCCAACCTCAACGACATCATCGGGCCAGCTGAAGCGCTCTCCAAACACATATTTGGCTTCAGCCAAAGTCAGTGGCGAGCACAGGGTGTTGCGTGAAATGCGTTCATCGTTCACACGGAACTGATAGAAAAAATCACGTAGGTCCTCGCCACTGACGCAAAGGTCGCAACCAGCTTGGAGATAAAGGCCGCAGAGAGATGATGCGGAGGCCATGTCAAGGCACCACTTGCGCTGCCCGACGTCCAAAATATTGGCAGGCCTGCCATCCAGCACCATCCTATCCCTCAGCTGATCCTTGCCAACTGCGAAGAGACCAGAAGTGTAACCATCATAGAAGGTCCCAGTCCGGATGGGCTGAAGGCGGCCGGAAAGTGCCAGTTTGCGGTACAAGTCGAGCTTGTTCTGCTGCGTGGCTCGCACAGACACTTTTGGAGGAATTTCATCAACATCATCAGGAGACAGGCCAGTCGAAATGGGTCTGTCGTACCGCTCAAGGGTGCAGTCATCAAAGAACTTCCGGGGGTCAAAGCGTGGAGGGCCAGGAAAGTGCAGCCTGTCTGCAAACAAAGGCTTGGCCGTGACGACAGGGTCATGATCTGACCTCCCAGCAATCGATCCACAACGTAGCTCACGGTGCTCAAAAACACAAGTCTTGCTAGGCTTCAAAGGGGCGTACATACCTTCAAAATTGTGCAAGTCGGCAGTGGCACGGCCCAGGACGTCCATACACTTCTGAAAGTCCTCAATCTTCGTGGCGGCCCGGCCCATGTCAACCGCCTCAACACTAATTGGAAAGTTTCGATCAACGGCAAGGTGTTCGATCATCCGGACGACTGACCACTGTTTTGCATTGAGCCTGGCACCAAGTCGCAGTGACGCAGGAGCAGCCGCAGGACACCCCAGAAAATACCAATCAAGTACAATAATCTGAAGGCAACAAAGGCGCTTGAAATGTGCGCTCTCAACCCGCTGCGCCGCACCCGCCCGGAAAACCTCCGGGTAAGGCACCGGACAAGGCCAGACCACACCAGCCATTGACGTACAGGCATCATTAACCTGGTGGGACTGCACGATGGAAAGCAAAAAACCCTGTAGGCCGCATTTGGACTTTAACAGCAACCTGGGCAGCGAATTCAAAAAACCCGGAACATTGACGGTGGCGGCATCAGACCCGGGCAGCTTAGGCAGAGGCCCCGGCTTGGTGCAGCGATCACCATCAGCAGGCAAAGGCTCATCACGAGCCGTCATGCATCTGAACTCTTCTCCGCAGTCGTGGCCGCCTTCGGTTTGGCTCCGGGGCGGCTCTTTTTCTTGGCGTCTGGGCTCAGGCTGCCGCTCTCCTCTGCAGGCTTTCCAGTGCTCCTGCCAATATTCCTTCGCTTTGTCAGGTACTCGTCCTGGTCGCGAAGGTGGGATATCGACACTTCTGCCCATCGTGCATCCAGCAGCTTTGAAAATGGCGAATCTCCCTGCATCACATCGGGGGGCACATGTTGGGACATTGCTGTGAGTGGAGGCCCTTGCTCGAGACTGAGCTCTGCAGCTAGCGTCCACGAACCTTGATCTACTGACGCCTGGTCGATCTGCAGCAGACCCAAACAGGCACGGGCTCTGGCCTGAGGTACATTGTTGGCCAACAGAGAATCCAGAATGCCCGCAATGCACCACGAGGAGTAAGCCGAGGATTTGTAGGACCCAATGCGAGAACGAAATTCGACCCACGCCCGTGCGCTCAGACCTCGGGGTTGGCAGCCTGGCGGCAGGGTCTGCGAGTTCAGGTCCTCGAACATCAGTCTTTCGATCAGCAGATGAACTTCCTCCGGATGCTCTTGGAAAGCGCTTCGCAACGCCCGCCTTGCCACAGCTGTCTTCTTGCCTGAGCCCAAGCTCGTAACATCTGACCCTGTCGCTTGCACAGCGTCGAGGGCAGAATCTAGCTTTGACCCAGTTGTCTTCTTCTGCTTCTCCTCGGTCAGCAGCTCCATGATGTTGGTCAGCTTGGCAAGGGATGAAGCTAATGGGTCTTGAACTTGAGACCCAGATCCTCCGACAGGGGCTTCCTCCATCTCCTGCTCCGTGGCCGAACCTCCGTCCTCGGACAGAGGGTCCAGAACGATGTTCGCATGCACATCTGCTGTCTTCCTTGCTCGCGCATTCTGCAAGACCACCCTCTCCATCTGGCCCAAGCTCTCGTGAGACACACCGGCCTGCAGAGCAGCTTGAACAACTCCTGGATCGAGGTGAGGAAAATCCATCGTCTTCAACGCAGCTCCTGACGACGAAGAAGGTTTGGCCTTCAGCTTTGTTGGCATGGGCGCTGGCTTCGTCTTGGTCGGTGTCTGATGGGCCTTGGAACGCTGCATCTGCAGGAGCTGCTGCATGCTCGACTGCAGGCCATCCAACACTGACTCCACATGTCCCATCCTCGTCTCGAGGTCCGCAGATCCAGGCCCGCCGACACTCAGAGGTCGCCCGTCCACACCCACCAGAGGCTGATCGTCTGGGTCGATGGGATCGTACGCTTCCTCCTCTTCCTCCTGCGCAGAGAAGAATGCAAAATGGCCGTTGGCTGCGGCAATCAGCGAGGCGGCAAGAGGGATGTAAAGTTTCTCCCCTTGCTGCATGAAAAAGTAATCGCACTGAGCTCCATCTGAAAACACCTCCACATCCGCTAGAAGAGTCGGCTCGAGAAAACCGACCCACAACTTCATCTTCATGCCTTCTATCTGTGTCATAGGGGAGTCTGAGTCGGCTACCAGTACTTCGACTTGGGTCACCTTCTTCAGGGCTCCTGAAACAAGTAGCCGGCGATTCACATTGCGATGCCATACTGAGTGGGGCACAGCAACCAAAGGTCGGCTTTCAAATTCCGAAATAGCAATCAATTGAAACTTGATGTCACCAGAAGACAAATGGCTGGTGAACAAAAGCACTTCAAAGTCTGAATTCAGCAAACCTTCCACCAGCAAATAGGAAATGCCAGTGGCAGTGTCGTCGTCCTCCCCGCTCATTGCTCCACGAAGCCGGGCCAAATCAGTCCAGCTGCAGCCACCGCCCGTCGCGCCTCACGCTCCGAAGGGAAGCCCACGTAGATTGCGTTCCCGGACTCGCCGTTGCGCGTGCACAGGTTCTTGCAAGGGGTGAAGGACTTGAAGACCTTGACCGGAGAGTAAATCGAACCTGGATAGTCACGCACCACCACGTAGATCCTGGAGCCGAGATGGTTCTTCTCACGCCCACTCAACCCACGATGACGACCCTCCAAGCACCTATTGATCCAACCACCAATCTCTTCAGCAATTGCCTCGCGCTCAGGCCAAGTCAATGAGCCAGAAGAGCCGGGAGCACCTCCGCGCACTTGCAATCCAGATTCACTGCTGTCAGCAGTGCCAGAATGACGCAAAGCAGCTGTAGAAGCTCCCGTTGCGTCTGCACGACTGACCAGCGAGAAAGAATCCACAGACCGATCAGACTCCCCACCACGCACACTTGCCGCTTGAGACCCAGAAGGGCCACGAAGCACCTCACGCAGCTGACGCTTGAGGCCAGAGACACTGAGAGCCAGCCGTTGCACTTCTTCTCGGAGATCCGCTACCTCGTCTTCCAAGGTAGTGATCCGGTCACTCATCAAAGGAGCTTGTACAGCTCCTTTCGCGAACCAGAAACTGATGTAGCCCCGAAGTGGTGTTGAAACCAAGTCACAATGCACCAGCGCAACGTGAAAAACCACTCAAGGATGGTGTAGATCAGGAGCCCGCAGATCAGGCCAAGCAGAAAGCTCCAGGGTTCCACCACCTGACCAGTGCTGGATGATGCAGGGTCGAAGAAAGGAGGCAGCGGATATTGCTCTGCCCACCCAAGAAGTTTCAGGGCAAGGGCTACGCTGGATCCTGCCGTCACACCTGTGGTGACAGGCCTAAGGCTCATGAGCCGAGATTCTACCACCCATTGCATTGGAAACATTGTCCCCATATACACAAATGAAACTATTGTTCTTTCTAGCTCTCTCTCGGAGAAGTTGTGCCAGAAAGGCAAAGCTCAATGCCACAGGCTGGAAGCTCCCAGTTTCACCCCGGCAACGAGTTTGTCCCAGATCCAACTTGCATCCCGCCTCCTCAGCTTAAAGCGCCCATCGAGGTTTCCATGTCGACCTTGAGGAAAATCAACCCAAGCTACCTGCTAGGGAGCACGCTGCGCGTCAACGAGCAAAAATATCGCCAAGCAACTGCTCCGCTCCCTGTTCTGTTGACGCATTGACGTATTCATCCCGGGGGACGAAGGGCGGCGCTGCGGGCATGCGCCCCCGCAAGAGGAACAACTGCAAGAGCCGGGAGGCCCTGAACAAGCTCGGAATCAAAGAGGCCGGGCTGAAGACTTTTCAAAGCCGCCGGTTTCGAGACTCCCGGAAGTGAGTGTCCAGTGATTTGAAAGTGCGAACCGAAGTAGCTCTGATTCCCTTGATCCTAAAAAAGATCGCCGGGCTTTGGCCCAACGGAGGTAGGAACATGCTGACTCTAAGACTCGTTCAAACCACAAAAAAAAAGAGCGTAAAAAAAAAAACAAAAAAACTGTTCATCAGACTCTGGGCAGTTGCTCTCTTCCTTTGGCTATTAGAGCCTGTACGGCAATCGTGATTTCTGCTCATGTCATGCAAATGGGTGCGATTGAATCAAAGCCTCAATCTGACACGCTGCCTTCGTACCCGATGCTCCTGGCACACTTTCTCAGTGCTCTTGAACTTTGGTACTGGTACTGCGTGCACCTTTCGTGTTCGCTGCCGATTCTGTCCTACACTCATCTCTGGCTCGCTGAGAACCACTTGCATAGGCTCAAGGTGCCAAATCCGGCCAAATTGGCCAGTCAAAAGCCACCACTCGCTTCCATCCTCCTTGTTCTTCTCAATCTCGCTTCCGCTGGCCCCAGAGACGTTGGCGAATGCCACCAGAGCCATCCAGTACTCCTGTCTTGCTTGTGATTGTGAAGAGTCGGATTGACTTGTGGCGGTCAGACTGCCTTGCGGGTTGGCTTGTGAGACTGGTCGGCGGTGCTGGGGTTGACGCTGCGAAGCGTTCGGCCTTTTGTGCTTGTTGCCACGTTGCGACGATCTCTTTTCTATGTGTGCGAGTCAGGTTGCGCACGCGTGCTTTTCAGAGTCACTGAGAAAGACTCAACGCTTGTAGTACCTTGTCGGGCTCTGCTGCAACATGTGTGTGTGTGTGTGTTTCAGCCTCTTTCGATTGCTTGATTGACTGGCGCAACGTTGAGTGGACTTGCTGCGCCGGGATTCTAAAAAATATGTTGTGACGCAAGTGGCCAGCCAAATCAAAGACGCTGACGCTAGAGCCCAGAACTGGTGGTGAAGGCTTCGCGGAGTAGTTTTTTGCTCCGACAATTGGCTGCCCCTCCATAGAAGGAGCGCGGAGTACTTGCGGAGTAGGGGCTGCTCAGAGTAGAGTGTGCTGAAACGCACGCAAATACCAATGAAACATGCGCGGAGTAGTTCTTGCCCGATCTCAGAAAACAATGCATTTTTACTGCCAAACACAGCTACGCTAGCGCGCAACACAACTACTCCGCCCCGTGGACAACCTTGCTGCTAGCGCGAAACACAACTACTCCGCCCCGTGAAGCGACTGGCTGCTAGCGCGAGACACAACTATTCCGCAAGCAAGCACGGGAAAGTCCGTAAGCAGAAAGAAGTCATTACTGGGCGCGGACGGCGCCGAGAACATACACCGCTGCTCTTCACCACAGCCTGCTGATCAACTCCCGCTTCATCTGTCCCAAACGGCGCCCCGCGAAATGGCATACTCCAGTAGAAAAAGGGTGCCCTCGAAAGTGAACAGCAGAAGACCATGCTCATCATCAGAGCGATTAAATGTGTTCCGCACTGCTCTGAAATCAAAGCAAGCATTTTTGTTTTTTTGGTTCCACGCGACCATTTGCGATCACGCAGGTCCGCAGTTTAAGCGTAGAGAAAAAGTGGACAATAAAGAGCCCAGGAAAGCAACACCAAAAGACCAACAAAACACAAACCAACACAAAAACAGAACCAACACAAAACAAACCAAACAGGGCATTTCCTCGGCTCGTCAAAAGCGCAAAAATGAGTCTTGCCGAGAGCAAACCGCAAGGACCGAATCGTCGCTGTGCTACGATCATGGTCTCTTATGCAGGGAGACGAGGCCTCAACCTAGAGATCCTAGAGCAAAGGCGGAAAAGGTCGAGGGTGCCTTCGGCAATCCACGCGATTCTTAGGAAAGTGCCAAAAAATATGAAACTATTACACCGCGCTCATTCATCTGTACGGAAATCACTGAAAGAGCTACAAAGCCATGAGTAGCGACATGTCCATATCTCACCAAATCACAGGAAAGGCCCATAAAGTCCACAAAAAAAGATGGTTAAGGCCTGTCGCACTGCTCCTAGCTTGAACCCAAACAACCCTCACATCAAAGAACCCCGCAAATCCAAAAGGCGCGCTTCTTTTTCACGGGTTGCTTGAAAGTTGCACTGCCTCCAGGGCACGCGGTGCACCTGGAGCAGGAGGGTTAGAATCTTGATCACTGCTCCAATCCGAAAGGGAACATGCAGTCCAGGACAAAAGGGGGCGACCGACAAACATGTGCGCACGCCCTTTTTCTTTGTAAGGCGTTGCTTGGAAGTTGAGGCTCAGAGGTGCAGGGGGAAAGACATCGCGTGTCCTTTCCCCGTATCTGCACCCCTCTGCGGAGCCTCCTCATATGCCCCCGTGGTCAACAATGCGTGTTCGACCAGTCGCCAGGTGTGTTACCTGTGAGGCGTGAAACAATCGAAGGCATCGATGGGGGCCGGATGCAATGCGTGCATCCGGCACACATGCAATGCGTCACGCGGTGCCAGGCTGAGACAAGTCGAAACAGTCATATGGCGGCTGGATGCAATGCGTGCATCCGGCTAATGTGCAATGGGTGCCCGAGCCCTTCGGGCGCGGCTGCGGTCCCTCAAAATCCCCTACGGGGGCTGTGAGGAAACCCTGAAACTTCCCTTCGGACGGTGTGAAAAGCCCCCTGCGGGGCTTTGACAAGCCCTGCCCCGGACAACTAGAAGACGGGTGGCCTGAAATCATTTTCCACGACGTGCAACTAGGACCAGGCTCTTTTTTGTCCATTCGCCGAATGCAATTGTCTGTTCCTTCGGCGGATCGCGCTTTGCGATCACAAACCCTAAGCAAGCAAGCACTCTAGTGACAGAGGGGAGCGCGCAACAGGCTTCTTCACGCCGCGCACGGCTCGTTGGGCGCGCGCCTGCTGCGGACAGCAGAACTTGTCCTAGCAGGGCTGCGACTTCTGGGCCGCACGGCACCGCCCTTGCTCCAAATTCCTCGAGGGGGTTCAACATCTTGGATTGCAAGGGCTTGCGCTCGCTCCCAGGTTATGCTCTTCCTCCGCCACTTTCTATTTCTGCTCTCTCGTGGCTTGCTTTCTCCGCGCCCAACAAATACCTGAGCGTTTGCTCTGCCATGCGAAGTTCTGTTCGGTTGTGGAGGATGCTGTCTTGGCTGTAGCCGGCGCTCTGCAGGATGAAAATCGCGAGTCGAAGGACGCATGGCCCCGCCGCCTAAGGAGGCGCTTGAAGGCAAAGAAGCCGGCTTGTCGAAGGATCTCGTCCGCATCGGCCCTGGCCGGCTCCGCCATGCTGAGCGCAGCACAGAAGTCAAAGTTACCTCAAACAAACATGCACGCACATGTATGCAAAGACAGTGTTTCGCTGCGCAAGCTGCCGGATGGATCCTTGAGACTCACAGAAACAGCAATGCGCAGACAGCTGGTCGGGCATCAACAGAACATGAAACAGACCGCCAAGCAGAGCAAATGCAAGGAGACAGTGATGCATTTCTTTCCGCGAGAAGCGCTGTGTGATTAGCTGTGGCAATCAGCTGGATTGTCCGCACAGTCCGCGTCAATTCCAGCTGCCTTCTGCAGCAAAAACTCTACAGTCCGTGGCTCTGGAAGAAACCCTCCACGTCGGGCGGCAAAACCTTGTTAGTCTTCGCAGCCCAGTCGCGCGCCGATTTTTGCGATCTCCTTGTGATCGGCATCCACATGCACAACCAGGATGCTTTTGTTTGCTGAGCCGCTTGTGAAGCTTTTGAACACGGCATCAAGCACAATAGTGACTGTCAAGCCTTTTAGCCATTCTTCCCCCCCACGAAAATAGTCTGGGTCGCACTGCAGAAGTCCTCGGGTAAATAAGAGTGTCGCCATGATTTGTTTCAAGGAGAAGCCCTTCTGCTCAGAAAGATACTCGGTTTCTGTGCCATCAGTTCCCCCACCAGTCCCACCGTTGAAGTTCAGCCCTATGCGAGAAACCGCGTACGGTTGGAAGCTTTGGTTCCGCTTCAGTAAACGTCCCCAGCGTGACTTGCCAGCGCCACTCATCGTGGCATACTCCAGCAGCGGGCTGTTTGCTTTGATCAAAGAGCCATTGCGACTCCGATCTCCCAACATCTTGGAGACCCTATTCAGAAACTCCTGGGACTCCAAAGGCCGAGCCTGAAACTCGCCATCGTCGGGCTCACCATGAATGCTGGCAGGCACTTTGTCTTTCAGGTCGCCTCAAAGGCGTAGCAAGCCTTCCACTGTCTGCTCTGAGTTCGCCATGATGGCCAGTGGGGCCTGCAAAACGGATGTGTGAAGGAAATAGCACAAACAACGCACGGCCACGCAACTGTTTGATGGTTTTGCGCGCCACTAACCATTCACACCAAATCAGGCAAATATGAGCGGGTACATCAAAAGTAGAAGGGAATGGCAGCACAACGGGCCAAACCATCGAACAGGAACTGTGCCCGTGGATGCAAAGCCGGGAATGCTTGAGCTCACTGCATCAAACAGAACATTCACAGAATGCACTTGTGCCCTCAGCAGCAAGGACCCCAATGGCTGCAGAGACATCAGAGTTTGCCCTCCCTCTCCGCGACGGTAGAAGGGCGGGTCTTGCTCTTTGTGAAAAACAGGCTGGGGGCAAGCACACACTCACAATGATCAAGGGCACGTCTCAATCAATGTCGAACGGCAGGAATGACCGACCTTCCCGAACGGCAAGGAACGGCGACCATCCGTTCATGGGGGGCTCCATACCGAGCCAGGAGGGCAGTCCCAGCAAAAGCATTTGCGGGCCGCGCGGGGGAATTTCAAAACTGCACGCAACGACCAACGTCCCAGAACGCAACCCTCCGGCGGAAGCGACCGACTCCGCCCGCCTCGGACTCCTTCGTCCGGCCGCTTGCCTTCGCCTCCTTGACCTCCTTCTTCGCCCTCTCCACCTTCCTCTCCGCCTCCTCCACCTCCTTCTTCGCCTTCTGCACCTCCTTCTTCGCCTTCTCCACCTTCCTTTCCGCCTTCTCCACCTTCCTCTCCGCCGCCTGCACCTTCCTCTCCGCCGCCTGCACCTTTTTCGCATCGCCCGATTCCTCCGCCCGAGCGAGACGCCTCACCGCCATTGCTTCCTGCTCCTGGGCTGTCGCGACCTGCGCCTGGGCTGTCGCGACCTGCGCCTGGGCTGTCGCGACCTGCGCCTGGGCCGTCTCTTGCTCCTCCAGAGCAAATTGCAGCTGCCGCAGCGCCAGGAGCAGGTCCTGCCCAGCAAGACTCACACGCCGAAGCAGCGCGCACAAACAGACGGCCTTCTCCAATGCCCTTTTGGCTGCTTTAGCGGAAAAAGAAAATGCCGCGAAATGTGGATCTCACCTTAGGCAAAGGAAGCAAAAAACAGCCCTGCCTCTTCCACGAACTTGGCCCGCATTCTCTGGTCCGCCGCCTCCTCGAGATCGCGCCGGTCCTGACAACCAACAAGCCCAACGTTCAAGCCCGATGCACGTGTCCCCCAGGCCTGGCCACTGTTGTCCTGGCTGCAACCGGCAAAAGATGCGAACAGGCTTCGGGTTGGAGGAGTCCTCTTGCGCAGCCCCGGCGCGCCGAGCGACCGGCATGCAACGGGTGCCGTTTTGCCTGAAAGAGCAAAAGTGCAATCTGCTTGCGCCTGCGGGCAACTCTGAGAACTGGGCCAATATGCTGTCCTGGCACGGCAGCACGAAACAAGAACATCCAAAGGAGGGACATCATGGTCCTTCAGCCCAGGAGCTCCTCGAGCAAAGTCCTGGGCGGCGACAAGGGACTCCTGAAACCCGAAAACCTTCAAAAAACATGTGTCCCAAGACACAGGCCGTGCTCGGCTGCACGAGCAGCGCCAATGCAGTCCCGAGAAGGCAGAGGCACATACCTGGCCGCTGCCTACCGCGGGCACGGTAACGTCACAAGCTTGCCAGCCTCGGCTTTTGGTCCTGGTCCGCATCATCGCCATGGCTATTCGAACAGCGCTTGAGCGGCCTGCGATTCCCCAAGCACTGGCACTAGACCCATCGGGCAACCATTGCGAGCTGTTGTTGTGTCAGTGTTGATGAGTACCCTCGAGCCAAGTTTCCAGAGCAAACACAAGATTGACTGGCTTCTTTGGCCACTAAGCTCCCTAAGGTCCCTAGGGGGTTTGTAGGGTTTGTAGAGTCCCTGCAATCCCTGCACACGTGTGCATCAGACGTCTTGCCAAGGCCCCAGAGTGCGCTCATCCCTGTCAACGCACGGCGGGTTCAGGGACCTTGGGGACCACCTTAGGGACCTGAAAGAATTTAGGGACCTTAGGGACCCTAGCAACCCTGCAAACCCTACCCTAGGGGCCCTAGGGACTCCGAGGACTTCAGGGACCCAGCGACCCAGGGACTTGAAGAGATCCTTGGAAGGGATCTTGGCAAGAACTTCACGCCGGGTACCACTCAGCCTGGGCATTCTCCAGCATCATAGGGTCATGCAAAAACACAAAATGCCGAAGCCAAGACACACACACACACACACATTGCAAATGGGCCACAACACCACAACATCATCTCCCAACTACAAACACGGATGTAGAAAACACCATGTAGAGACATACCAACATAAAGGCACAAAGACATAAAGATATAAAGATATAAAGAGAAAGGTATAAAGATACAAAGATATAAAGATATGAATTTGTAGAAATACAAAGATATAAATATATGAAAATTCATAAAGAGATACAAATACGTAGAGATATGAACATATAAATGTATGAAAATAAATAGATATGAGTACACGAAGATAAATACATGTATGGAAAGTTGCTCGAATGGAAAAACAACAGAAGCTTTGCCCTTCCGCGCGTCTTTCGGTCCCCTTGCGTGGCAAGCTGCAACCAACCGAAGCTTGAGAGATGACTTCACACTTCACAGGATCTCTTGCCCCCAAGACCCAGGGTTGCTGGGGTCCCTAAGGTCCCTGGGGTCCCTAAGGTTTTGGGACCCTGGCGAGACGTCTTGATGGAAGGACGTTGTTTCATGGCACCTGCAGCGGACGCACGCGTGCCCAGGGACCCAGGGACCCCAGAGACCCTAGGGAATCCAGGGACCCTCGGGACGGACCGTCAGGGCCTCACTGGGTCAAAGATCAAGGGGGCTGACAAATTGGTGACAAAGATCAAATGACAATAACCTGCACGGGACCCCTTGGCCATGACAATGGAATGCGGCGAGGGCCCGGTGGAGCTTGAGGCGCAAGCTCAAAAGTTCGGAGTGCCTGAGCGCCAGGAAAAAATGCGATTTTGAGGAAACCACACTGCCTGACTTACAAAAAACCTGACAGAACGACTTGACGGGGTTGGGGCGAGAGACAATACAAAATGCGGGCCTGGCTCAACGAGGTCACGATTTCCAAAGATACACGGGCCTGACGGCGCGGCTTGACGGGGTTGGGAAAAGCACACAAAAAAACAACGCAAACCACTCGGGCCTCACCGGGTGAAAGAGATCAAGGTTGGGCCCAACCCTGAAAGCTCAGTTGAAATCCGCGCAGAAACACTGACGGCGCAATCAGCAAAAAGGCCCAGGCAGAACGTCTTCGAGTTGCGCAAATCCTGGCACGGGACGGGGGGGGGGGGTCCGGCCTCGCTAGGCCAAAGATCAGGGGGCCTGACAGATTGGCGAGTTGGGACCCAAACCTCAAAGATCAGTTGGCATTAATGGCCATGACAACGGAAGCAGCGAAGGCCCGGGCAGTATGCCTCGATGTCAAAACAAAGCCTGGCATGGGGAAGCGCGAAAACACGACCTTCAAAATCCAGGACCAAACCTGAAACACTGCTCAAAGGCCGAGTTGACGCCAATCCGCACAGGTGCCCAGCCAAAGAGTCCCCAGTAGCACGAATTGGATCCACCTGCAAGCGGCCAACAAAAAGTGACAAAAAGGCAACTCGCGGCGCTGCGAGAAGATCTGCACGTCGAAGTCTGAAACCACAGTTTTGCACCCGCGAGCGGTTCCCTGCCGCCCCATACCCCAGAGTGTCCCCGAATCTCGCCTTCACAAGGCTCACGTGCTTGGGGAAGCTCTTTCCAAACACAACCGACAACGTGAAAATCGTGAGAAAAACGCAACACCGACAACCTGTCATGCAAAATCACGCTCAAAAACCATGCAAAACTGAATTTACGGAAAAACAGACAAAAACGTGTTTTTTTCCGGAAATGGCGGCCCTCGAGCCGCTGTCCCTTTGGTCGGACCATTTTGTTTGGAGCGTCCAACTGGGGTCTGAGTGAGGTTTGCCACATATCGTGAGTTTTGAGGTGCGTGTTATCTCCAGAGTTAAGCGGTGTTGTTCGTGAGTTACGCATAGGAGGGCGTCCAATTCTGGGCATGGCCCTCGGCCTGCTTTTGTATGTTGGATTTTGGCTTGTTGGAACCGGAGCTAGTTTTCTTTCAGCCTAGGGTAGGGAGCGTAACATCAGTGGCTTGGCTAAGATTTGTCTGAGGGCGTTGAGGGGACATGCCAGGACTCAACAGCTGAGTATTGTTGCGATGTGTTTGCATCACGCTGCCAACCGTTTGATGATTCGTTTAACTCCTTACATGTTCCCGCGTAACGATTGAGTGACTGCCATATGCTTTTCATTCCCATTTTAACTGGTTCATTGCCACTTTAACTGCTGAAAGGCCAGCTTAACTCTTGTTGTTGCACCTTTAACTTGTCAATGGCAATTTTAACACTTGAGTGGCTGGCTTAACTCTTTTTTGACCAACTTAATTTTTTTATGCCGCGTTTAACTCCCGAGTCCTTTGCGCAGCCTTTTTTCCCTGAAGGCTTTCTCAGAAAGGTGTGTAAGTTTTAAGATAGTCTCATATTCCAAGACTCCGCCACGCCACAGACCCACGGACGAAACCCATGCAGGATCGTGAAGTGCTTGCGTGCGCGCGTCCGTCAGTGCACGCGCGCGTGCGCACACACACGCTGTGCGCCTGCGCACACGCGTCTGTGTTCGCGCGACGTTTGCGCTCGTGCGCGTGCATGCGTGTGCGTGAGCGTGGTGCGTGCGTCGTGGGCGCGCTTGCTTCCGCGCTTGCGTGCGCTCGCGTGCGAGCGTTTGTGTGTGTGTGTGTATATG